AAGTAAAATACATCACATAAATTAATGGAAATTATTAATACATTCATATATACAGAAAATAATTTTAATGAAACATGCTCATACAAGCTTTAATAAACTTGACAACGAATAAAAAGTCAAATCAAAAGCATGTTCTTTATATCCTATATTTATTCTGCACACCTGAGTAAATATAAATATACATGCATAAAATATGCTTAAATTTGATTTTCTCAGATTGGCTCAGTCCAATTTTGTTAATAAATATCTTGAATCTATCGACTTTTATTAAGGTTATTAAAATATAAAACCAAGTGAATTCTATCAATGCTATATAATTTGACGTATCCAGAGCTGTTTATTTTCATTAACAGAATAATTATTTAAATAACTATAATGTTAAAATAGACAATAGCCTGGGAATGTCATTTGTAGCCAAAACCTTGTATTCACTGATATTACTTGAAATCATTCCAAATCATTGCCGTACTTCATTAAAAGCAAGATAGAGATCTAGAATAATTTATGACATTCCAGGGCAACTGCTACAATGTTTTTGTGCAATATACGTTCTTGTACAATAATACCTTCTTGTATATATTTGTATTCCTGGAAATCCTTTTGTTGTACAATTATGCACAAAAAATACTATTTGATAGAAGGCTTATTATTTACATTTGTTTGATTAAAAAACTTTACAACAAATTTTTTTATATAGATTGAATTGTTTATAACATTAACAGAGTGTTATTAACCGAAGCAATTTTTTAAAATGCATCTCTATTCCTAAATTAAAATCTATCTTCTTGTAATGATTCCTGACATATAAAATAAAGTTGTCTAGAAAATTCATATAATTCAATTCAAGTTATGTCATTAGAAAGTCAATAATGTTAGAGTATTATTAAAATCTCAAATTATTATCTACTAAAAAATTAGATCAGAGAATTTCAAAATTATAATTTATTGACAATCCTTTTTTGAATAAGTTTATTTATTCATCTATGATTTTATTAATGTAAACGAAAAAGTGTAAAATTAAAAATGAATTTCCACAAAATTAAATTAATCGAAGGATTAGTTGGTTTATCATATTGTTTTGTAAAAATTGTATAATTTTTATAATTTTTATCATTTTTATTTCAATAATTTTTCATTAAAATTAAAAATCCTTTTTATGATGATATAAATATATTTTGAAAACTATAGAAAATATATATTTATGTTTTTACTTAAAAATTATTTATGAATACGTCACTTTGATATAATTATAATTCTATTGAAATATAAATAAAATGTAGATTAATTTATGTCATGGTAATGTATAAGTACTATAAAAGTTTTAAATACCTGTAATTGATAAGTCAACTTGTTCAAACTTCACATAAGTAAGATTTAATAAAACTATATAAATAGTAACATTTATACTTTATCGTATTGAATTTAAATACATATATACATTACTAAATTGAATATATCAAATTGACACAAAAATACACTACACTATTGAATACATCAAATTGAATAAAAATACCTATAAAGATATAACAAAATCTGTAAACAAATTATATCTGCGTATACGAATGTAATACTTTATAATAAACGCTATTATCATGATATTAATCAATCGATCATTGAACATAGGCATTACCTCGGCATCGAATACCATATGAATTAACATTGTATTGCCTCAATATTCATTTGAAATTATTTGAACAGAATGCCAATTATTCTTAATAACTAAATCAGAAATGAGTATTAAGTTTATTGTTTTTTTTCTCCGGAAATATTATAATATACAAGGAAATTATTTTGGCAGATTAAGAATACGAATGGATAAAAATATTTGATAATATATTAATTTAATGGAATTTACGTATTAAAAATTTAAAGAAAACTTTATTTTCTTCAAGGTTATATATATATATATATATATATATATATATATATATATATATATATATAACCTTGAAGAAAATAAAGTTTTCTTTAAATTTTTTCAAATTAATTACGAATAAATTATGAATGTGATTCTCATATTAATATAATTATTAAGAGATAAATACTATTAGATTAATCTCACATATACCACATATAAGATTTATTCAAGTTCCACTCGGACTGTTATTTGTACCGTAATTATTTATGTGTATGTCTATTAAAAATTGGTCAATAACTAAAAAGTAATTAATCTTATATTAAAATATATACATTTTCAATATAGTAGATTTATTTTGACATACTGAAAATTAAATTTTATAATGTACTTTGAAGTAAAAAATTATTTGTTCAATAAGTCTGTTGTATAAAAATTTGCGTCCACACTTGCTCGCACATGCAAATATATATAAGTAGTTTAAATTTTATTTGGAATTTTTATCATTTATTACTCGCCTATTTCTTGTTAGTAAGTGATTAAAATAAAAATTTTTATTAATATCTTTGTAAATCATGATTAAAGTAAAGATTTAAAAGCAATATTTCTACAGTAACAATTACAACAGTAACAATTATTCTTAAAATCAGTTAATACGAGGAATAAGACAGACATCAAATTATTATACATAAAAGTGTAAATATTAACGATTTCGAACGAGAAAGGAAGCAATTTCCCTTTAGTGTTACAATGAAGGAAAGTACTTGCTAAAAGAAAGAAAAGTGTACTATTTATTTCTAAGTACGAATACACAACATAAACTGCACGTTACTGACCTACTGGCACGATTTTCCCTTCGTGAAAAGATTAGCTTCCAATGAAAGCCCATATATATGTTTACAAGAGAAGGGAAGTGGTTATACGCATTCTCTTTTTTCTCTATTTTTCTCTTTTCCACTGCTTGATCACGGCACTTAAGTTCAACGGCCTACACGCTATCCTCGTTTCACAATAGCATCAACATGCCTATATTGAAGGCTATTTTATCACAATATTTACATTTTTGTTTTTGTTTTGGAGATTAAAAAAACTTCCTTTTTTTGTCAGTGTATGAACTAAGGCTCGTATTTTATATATATAGTTGTGTTTAAAATATAAAATAAATCTCTATTATTTCTTACAAAAATCATCAAGTTAGCAATGAGTAAATAAATATGAATTTTCCTTAATTTCAAATATGATAGCAAAATATGTATAATAAATTTAAAATAAAATACTAAAAAAGGTAATGTAACTTTACTTATATTTTATGTACTTATTTTGAAACTTATACTGTTTCCATTTTATATTTGAAAAGTACTTACCCACTAATCAATTATTCAATTTTACTTAAGATGATAATTTTATTCTGTTACTAAATATAAATAAAATTATTTTTATTTCTGTAAAGCTCAAATTCTATAGTAATTTTAATTTTATACATACAATTATATTATTTAAATGTCTTATTGTTTCTATCAAATTATATAAAAATTAAATAAATTTATCAAGAAAATTAAACTGTATCATAATGAATATCTATAAATAAATAATATTAAAAAAATATAAATTTATATGTAGATTTTACAATTATTTAAAATTTTAATCAATGGAAATATTTATTAAATAATTTGATTACTTTTAAATTATTAAATATAATATTTAAAATATATATTTTACTCTATAAAAAAAATCTTATAATTGTTTTTAATATAATATATAACTTTTTTATAACAATATTAAAAAATATCTTTAATTTTATTAATATTTTATAAATTCATAGTTTAAGAAGTATGTATACAAATATATCATTTTTCTGCTGAGATAGTCTTAATTAAAATCAAATTGTTATTGAATATTTTATAAAATATTAAGATAATTTTGTTAAATGTATAATAGTTTAATAAATTAGTTAAATTTAATAGCAGATTAGTGTAACAATAACATTTTGTTATATTATTTTTAAATCTATTAAAATATAAGTATCAAAGATTTTTTATTAATATTATTTTAATAATATAAATTTCAATGATTAATTAAAACTTTATAATTGAATATTATAAGTGTATAATTTTTTATTAATGAATTATTATGAAAAATAATTATTTATTAATATTTTCTTAAATATCTATTTATACGTCTAAGAAGTTTGAACAAATTAAAATAGTTTTACATTATTTATATTGAATTATGTATTTTCTTTAAGTATTTATAAATACTATACAAAAATTAATATAACAAAATAAATATACAAGTCTTGCTTAGATCATAAAACTGTATAACTTATTAAGTAATTTATTATTTATAATTGTTTCATTTATATCATTTCTGTATATACATTTGATTATATTTTAATTAATATTAAAATTTAAAAAAAAATAAAAGAATTTTAAGCTGAAATTATGAATATGTATTTTACATTTTTTGGCCTATAATATATAAATTTCTATATTTATTCTAGAAATTCAATAAATTCTTGACCATTTTTGTTTCATATTATTTTGAAAGAAATGCAAAGTTTACATATCTATGAAATATATCAAATATGAATTTACATTTTTCTGCAAATAAGTAACATTAAGCTGATAGAATAAACAAAAAAATGGATTTATAAACATATTAACTTGAGGGTGGCTACATAACCATCAAAATATTTATGTATCGATATTTCTAAACTAACAATGTGTATATAAAATATATAAAGTATTTAAATTACTTAGAAGGTAATACGTAGTGAAAAATAAAAAAGTAAAACGTGCAATAATTTAAATATTATATAATTAAAATTTGTAAATTTAAAGAAATAACTTCAGTTATCATTGACAGCTAATTTTTCATCTAATGAATTTTAAATACATTCATCTTTTCTTACTTACTTCAATTAAATTTTATAGGTATGCCACTGTATTATAAATAAAATCATTTAAAAAGGAAAAATATTCTTTTAAACACATATTAGTATACGCGTGCATATTTTTTAATAAAATAAATCATTTTAAAGCTACACATGAAACATAAAATACGTAGTACCAGTACCAATCACTGGCGCTTCAGGTTGTCGTCTCTATCTTGTTGCGAATCATGCATGACGTTTATTAGAAACCGGCTGGTTGAACTTGTCCAAAGTATTTGAGTCTTAAGTGCTTTTGTTTTTCTGCTCCTCGCATTATTTAACACTTCTATACGTCTATAAGACCATTTATATCCTTTTTTCTCCAATTTGAGTATATATTTTGCAGTACATCATCGCCATGGTAAATTTTCAATTCGTTCATTTTTATTCGTACTGAAAATAACAATCGCGTCAAAAAGATGTATATAATTCGAGACATAAACTATTATCAAGAGAAAATACATATTTTCTTCTCCTTTTTTTTAAACCAAAGTAGTTTATAAAAATAATTGGTGGTTGGGTCACCGAATCACAAGTTCAATGATATATTGTTCTATATTGTTCTGTATATAACATTATGCTTAATTTATCACTAAAATTATAAATTACTTAATATGTTTACTGTGATTAAATCGATTACTTACATATTTCATAATTTGTACTTATATTATATTATTCAAGTATTTTAGAAAGACAACACTTATTATTGTAAGCCGAAGAATAATCAGATACTGATATACGCGTGACAAATTACATCACCAGATTGCAGCACTTAGTAAATCCTATTGTCCATACTAAAATAAAAATTAAATTTTTTTAAATAAAATAAATAAATACTTTTTTTTTTAATCACTGCATAAATGTTTAATAATAACTTTAAAATTATTTTTGATAATAAAATTTTTCAATCAAATAACAATGTAAAATTTTAGTATTTTATTTTTTATAAAATTGATTTGATACATATTTATAATATATAATTTATGAAAAATGAATTCGTATTATATATTACATATAATAAAAAAACTTTTTTAAAACCAATATTATTTTAATTTTTTAATTTGTTTAATATCTAATTTAGACAAGTACTGTTTTAAGAAAAAAAAACTGATCTATTTGAATAATATTCTATTATTACATATGATGTAGCAAATTCAAATGAAATAACATGAATTTATTTTATAAATTAGTTATTCAAATTATATTATAAAATTTAACATGAATATTAAAATAATCATTTTATTATTAAATAAACATATTTATATTTAAATTTTGTATACAAAATTTCATACTTTTATATACCTAAAATGTTAAAAATCAAATGAGCAATTACTAAAATCTGATTACAATGAAAAATGTTTGATGTAATATGAGTAGTCACTTAGTTCTTGTATCAATATTAAAAGTTATAATAATTGAAAAATTTTTTTAATTTCATCTAAATTAATTATTTTTAATTACCAGTATTCTTATTAGAATGTTGTTATTGAAGTTTCAAAAATAATAAAATAAAAATCTATGCATTATTAACTAATTTTCTAAAACTAAACAAATACAATGAAAGGAATATTATTATATTAAAGTAAATTAAATTTCAAATAGATAAGAGCTTAGAAAATTATAAAAACTTTTTCAATAATAATGTATATAAAATGCATTGATTTTAATAACGATTTATTACAGTGGTGAAAAAATTTAAAATAAAAAAAATTATCAAAACATTTGAATATAAGTGGATTATTTTGCAAAAGATATTACGGAATTTAATTTTCATTTTATTATTTTACTATTTTATATTTATATGAAGCTGAATGTGTATAATCAACTTTAGTAGTTTTAAAATATTTTTTTTTAATTCAATTCCAGAGTGATGAGTGTTCAATCTCAATGAAACAGAAACATGAACAATATTAACAAATTTCTAATAAACATAATTTTGTAACATTAACAAAAGTTAAAATTATTATTATATTGTATTTTGAACAAGTGTCTTCAATATTTGTTTTATATTGATACTGCATATAAATTGTTTAATACATATTTTCACGGTTTTATTAAATTTTAGTAAGAAAAATGAAATTCGAAGTTAATTATTTACCTTCAGACTGTTGTTTTTAAATATCTTATATTTTTCTATATATAGTGAAATAATATCAAAATATTTGATATTAAAGAATTAAAAGATTTGAAAGAAACTGTATAAACATATTTTTTCAACAGGTATTGGCAGGTAATATATCAGTATCAGAAAACTTATGTTTGCATCATCGAAATAATCCATTGTTATATTCTAATAATAATCAAGATGGTATTTTTGTTAAAAATGTATTGGAGGGTGAGACCCTCAATTATAGTTTGGCTCTTCTTTGTGGTCAAGTTCCTACCACCTGTTCATACATCAAAGTATTGAGTGACAACAAACATCAAATATCTGAGTGGCCAATCATTGATAAAGAATTTCGTATTTTACTGGAATTACAGCGAGGTATTAATAAATTTGTGCTTGAAGCTGGAGGTTTCAAAAAAAAGTTGAATCTGAAATACGAACCAAGAACAACAAAGCTACGTGTTACACCTATTTACATCATTTGTGATGGCCATGATGGTCACTTTCAGGTAATCTAAATGCAAATTGAATAACCAAAATATGATTGAATAATTGATTATCATTATTAATAATAATTATAATAATATAAAATATAATTAAATTTTTTTTATAAATTGAAATATAACAAATATAATATATTTTTATTTTATATAGATTTTATCACGAATTTACTATATTAATCAAAATGAAGAAACAACATTTATAATTACTATATATACTATAATTATAATATATTCTATAATATATAGATGTTCATTGACATATTTACTTTTAAACTTAAAAAATTATAAACTAAGTAAAATGTAATTTCTTTTTAAATTTTTTAGAATAAAAATGAATTTTACAATTATTGATATTAAAAGAACAATCAATATTATGTAATTTAATATATTAGTACTATATAATAATTAATCAATTCATTAATTAATATGGTAATTAATTATTTAATATACATTAAAGCAGAAATTATTAAAATAAAAATTTCTATGTTTCAAGATGTATATAGTATCATAATGAATACATAATGAAAATTCTTGTTAACTTCTTAAAGTAATTACTTCAATATAATAGCATAAGTATAACTAATAAGTTATATAGTCATTTGATTGTCATTGAATATCATTTAACTTATATATATTTTGAATAAAAATTATCATTTGAATAATATTATTTGTTGAAAATAACTATATATGAGTGTGTGTGCGTGTGTTTATTTATAAATTATATATTTATAAATTAATTTAAATATTTAATAATGACTAAATTAATAATACTGTTTTTGAAATTTTAAAATCAAAATAAGTAATGTTTAATTATTTCTGCTTTTATTAAATTAAAAATCATAGTGTTACCACAATATAGAACGATCTTAGGGTCCGTGTAGTGAAAATCGTTCGCCAGAAAGCGCGGCAACACGAATAGGCCTGGGTGCTCGCCTTCTACAGACCCTAACTGCAGAGAAACTACATGAAGCTGGACATGGTAGAAAAACGTTCCAATTGGAGCGTGATTTGGATGGCCCAGAATGTGTAGTAATGCATAGCGTATTACACGTAGATCAAGCTCGAGCGATGTCGCAGCGAGAACTCTGGGAATTAGTGGGTAGAGAATTGATGACAGGCCCACTAGCTTCTAAAAATCGTAAATACATGGCCTTTTTATCGTGTACAAAATATAGAGGAGCACCTAGTCCCAGAACTCACGAGGACATCTTATCAAGAACTCAAGGACACGCTTCATTAGGTGGTGGTGGGCTTGCGCTTTTTGGTTCGGCTTGTTTGCACACGTGGCCAACTTCCATATCACAGGTCAATTTAAAAATTTTATTTTACAAACATATTTCATTTATTCATTTATTTTATTTTACAGACACTTTTCATTTATTCTGAAAACAAAACAAATAATAAATCTTAACTCTTCCATACGATGCATGTTATTTTGCATATTAAAAAATTATTGTGTTTTGTCACCACACTTTCAATTTTCATTTGAATTTTAATTAGCAAAATGAAATTATTATTTAACTTTTTAAATCTGTATAAATTAATATGCAATACAAGATAATATTATGTTATTATATCATAAAATTGTACTATTTTCATTTATAGAAAAAAAACAAAGAATTTTATTGTAAAGAATGAATATAAGAAAATTATGATTATTTCAATATTAAATTAATTATTACATTTTTTATTTAAAATTAAATCCTTAAAGAATATTGAACGATTTGATCAAATTTAGTCATTTTAAAACCTAATTACAATAATATGTAATATATATCAAACATAATAAAGTTTATTAAATTAATTGAAATATATACACTTTTAAACCACTAAAGATATTAAATGAAATGGCATACCATGATTATAGAAAAATAAATATTTGTTAGCCATAAATTTTTTTTGTCAAATAGAAAAGTTCTTACTTCACTTCACAATCAAGTTCTTCTATTTTAACAAAAAATATACACACAATTTACAATCTATAAATAATTCTGTTATAAATATTCTATTTGAAGAAATTATCCTGAATAATAATTTTATTGAACTGATTAATTCAAGTTTTGTCTTTTACTTATTTTAGAAAATGTTTAAATTGTACAATATTTAGTGCAATTAACGTATTATATCAATAATTTTGAATGTGTGTACAGACTATTTAATCATTATTTTAAAAATTCATTACATATATAAAAGAAACTTATATTAGTATTAGAAAAACTATATTACTTTTGTATTTGTACAAATATGAGGAAAATATATACAGGTTCGACACTTCAGTAAGATAACTTGAAAGATATTTTTAAAATTGTGTAGCTACTTTCATAGGAGTTGAAATACACTAAAAAAAAGATTCTATATTACCTATTTTGAGTATTAATCCTACTTAATTACCTTAAATTTAAAATACTAAATGAAAAAATTTCAAAAGATAATATTATAAATATATTTTTATAAATTGATAATGGTTTCTACAATGTTCAAACGATATATGTCCTAATAATACATTAAAATTTTCTTTTTAAATGTTAAAAATCTCTTGAAATTATCCAGCATTAAGCTGATTTAAAAATGTTGAAGACTAGATTATATTGGTATTATTCTATGCATAAGGACTATATATTTTGTTAATCAATAATATTGCAGTTCATTACACACAAAGAACAACATAATTAATTTTATTAAATGTTTATAAGTAATAAGAACTAAAATTTTAACAATGAGAATGCTAAAACTTTTATAAATTTGTTTAGTATTGGTCTATGTTATTAATTCATATTTATTTTAATTATTTGTTTTATAAATATTTGAAAAAGGATAGAAAAATTGAAATTTTCAAATAAATATTAGACTACATTATAGATGTACTGAATAAAATTATACTATTATTAAACATATGTTAAAAATTAAAATTAAAGAAGTAAAAACAGTCTTGTTTTTTAAATTAAAATGCCTTTGCTTAAATAACAATAAATTATCGCTATTTATTTAGTTTCTCTGATTATCAAATGAAATCTATACTATATAAATATACTATGTATTAAAATACGTGATAAAAATATTTGTTAATAATTTTTAAAGAAAAATTTTTCTTTTGCATTCTATTGAAATTTTTATATTTCTATGCAAAATAGTTTTTAAAAATATAGTGATAATTAATCATCGTTTTTATTAATTTATTATTTCCTAATGTAATAGCATATAATAATGATTTCGTAGGGTTAGAGAACCTAACTTATAATAAATAAGTTAAATGCCTTGATAATATTTTCGTTATTAATTTTTGACTTGGAAAAGATTAAATTAATTAACGAATACTTCTTTTCAATTGATTTTCTAGATCCAGTATCGATTCCTCGATATGACAGTGATTGACACCGAATATCTAATGGATGATAGTAATTACCGAGGTACATATGGTGGCTGTCTCGCTACAACCCTTGGTTCGGTCCTTCATGAACTTGGACACACTTTTGATTTAGGTCATACACGGGACGGTATAATGGGTCGTGGATTCGATTATGTTGATCGTGTATTTTTAGGAACAGCAAGTATTGAGATAAATCGAAATATAATTATGCGATGTAAGCCTCAGCATACAACCATTACTTTAACTCGTCCATTAAGCATAACAGTTACCATTCAACAGCCTGATGTAGCAAATCCTACACAAAGCAGTCTTATTCCGCAGATCTCAAAACCACTGTCTACTAATTTTGATAAATTAAATTTCTCAACTTTGCAACGACTATCAACACCAACAAGTCCAAAATTAAACCAGTCTCTCACAGAAGTTATTTTCAATGATAAAAAAACAGAATCGCAAATGGACAAGACATATTGGGGAAGTGCATGTGCTACTTTGTTAGCTTACCACCGTTGGTTTAATTCAGAATTTGATAGCATACAAACCAAGAATTGTAATGATTTAAAATACGACATCAAAAGGTTAATTTTTAATATTTTGTTTAACATTCCAATTTATTTTTTATTAAAATATTATACAAATTGATTTAATTGAATTCTATGTTACAATTTCTAATATAATATAATGATTTTAGGAAATTGAATTGTGTTAAATAAAATTTAAGAAATCTATATATAGTTTTAAATATATTATATTTATACGATAAACTGGTATATAATCAACATATAATATCATTTTCTTAGGTTCAATATATTAAATTAAATCTATATGTTTATGTATTTTAGAGATTTTAATAAAAAATTTTTATTTTCAGAAATGTTGTACAATCACGGTTCGGTGTGCGTATAATTGAACTAAGAGAGTCAGTGGGTGCTATGGTTATAGAATCTCGTCAATTCCTTGGCAATCACTTGACATTGGAGACAATAGTACCAGTTCCACCACCTTACTGCATCAGCGCAGTAATCCTCTTTGCTGAAGACTCAATTGGCAATATACTTAAGTACCCCCTTCCAACAGAATTTTACTAGTACAAGCTATTTATCATAAATTCAATTCTTTACTGTAATTCTTAGAAAGAATTTCTATCTCATTTTATAGTCCATCATTCATTATTTTATCTAAAGATTGAATTAATATAAATATTAAAACTTCAAAGCTTATAATTAATAATTTTGATAAAAATTACAAATTCATAAATAATGTAGAATTGATAATTTAAGTTCTTATACATACTTTATATCTGATTACTGTAATTAAATTAAAATATTACGAAAACTACTAAACTACTATTAAATTATTACAATAGTATATTAAAGTATGTATTAATTATTAATCCAAAACATTTTTTTAATTTTGTTTGAGAAAATATAATATTTAAAAATTAAATTATTGTATATACGTTTTTGTTAACTTATTGAATTATATGTTGATCTCTATCGAAACTTTTTCATATATTAAATTGCGCTACTATTAAACTTATAAATAATCATTGTTGAAAAATAGACTTGCACTAGATATTAAAAAATCTCTAAATTTCATGTAATACTTTAATTAAACAAAAATGTAGGATTTAAAATAATATTAAAGTCATCTAGTATTATTGAAGAAGTTTATATAATTTCATTATTTAATATTCAATTAAGCCATATCCATTGTATAGGAGTGTTTCAATAATAATATAATCAATCATGCTGTAAAATAGTTTATAATTTATGTATAATAACATTATTGAAATTATTATATACATTGTTGTTAGCATTGCTTTATTCACTAGTCAATTACAGTATTTTGGTTTACATCTTCAGGTATAGTGGTGGTTGCAGAGATACACAAAATTAAGATAATACATTTTCTTTTTACTATGATAAATCATTTCCTTTATGCACCACTATATGTAATTACCTTCATTATATCAGATCAAATTCTTGATCAATAAACTTAATATTTATATATCTTACTTTTTGTATAAAGTGATAAAGAACCTATCATTCAGTATTAAAAAATTGTTATAAATATCACATAACATATATATATATATATATATATTATAAATGCATACTAATGAAAAGAATTGTTTATATTTACAATATTAAACAATTGAATTCCTTGACATAGTTATTTAAAAATTAGAAAAAATAAAACGTATAAACTTATAAATTATAATTTTATTCATAATATCCTTACATGAAAATTTATAGCAAATAATACCTACACTAATACAAATACTAATACTACAAATAATACAAAACACTACCGATTTTATAAGTATTAATTATAATTAATTAAATCAATATACTAAATGCAATCTGAAAAAAATTATAGTAGACTTAAACATAAAACAATTTATATGAAAGAATTTATGAACGAAGTTACAAATGAATAAATTAGATAATTAATCACACGATTAATTAAACCTTATCTATTATTTATAAAGAATATGCTATTGAAAAAAATTCTAAAATTTAAGAAACTTATATTAGGTTAATATTTTTAATTTTTAAAAGATTAAAAAATTAGTTGAGTAATAATGATCTAAATAATGTTACTTTTTATTTTATAAAAAAGTTTTTCGTAAGTAAAATATCTTCAAGAATTTGTATAATTTACTTTGCATTCATTAAAAATTAATAAAGTAAATCATTTAAAGTGATGCTTAAACATCCAGTCAATGAATAATATTTATATATTAAAAAATTGAGCAATCAGTAGAATAAAAATAAACATAGCATAGATATAGAATTGTATATAAGGAAATGTACTTATAAATTATAAAAACTATAATATATGTTATTTGAAAACTAACTTGTATACAATGAGTATAATATATAAAATATAAAAATAAAAATTAATCTCATACACAAATAACTAAGTGCATAGTACGTACAAAATTTATAAAATATGCAAGATAAAATATAAAAAAAATATATAATACAGTATATACAACAATACCATAATTTTATGTTCTTTTCAGTATAATATTTATGTCAATTTAAACAATAAAAGTATTACTGTACTATAAATTTGTATAAATTTATGAATAACCTAATTAATTCCGCAAATGAATATTTAATTATATTAGTGATAAATTAAAATAATATTTTGTTTCACTATTGTGTTTAATATCTAACTCTAAATCAATACAATAAGTTTTATAAAAAATTTTGTATCTATTAATTTTAATTATAATGCATAATTAATAAACAGTTTTGATAAATAACTAAATCCATTAATCTAATTATTTTGCTTAATATACAAATATTCATTTAATTATATAGTATAATTATAATATATTAATTACATTTTTATATTAATGACATAATATTATGATACGAATTTAGCATGTTAACTATTTACTAAAGAAAATTTTAAAAACAAAAAAATATTCAAATAATAATTGCTTGAACTATTTCTTTAGAAAAAGTTTCAATTAGCAATGGTTAATATGAGTACTGAATGAAACTGTCATTTAATTTAAATATTAAATTTATAAATTAATTCTTATCAAATTTAGAATAATTAATGCTAGATACTTTACAAATAGTAAAAATTGGTTCATTATTATATAAATATTTTTCTTATAATTCATTACACAAAATATAAGTGTTGAAAATGTATTATTTCTACTTTGAAAATATAGTACTTTATGTATTTTACTAGAAATTTGTAAAAGTTTGCAAATTTAAACAATAAATTTATTTATTATATTATTTGGTATAAATTATATTTTTTATGTTAATTATTATTAAATAAAAGATAAATAATTAATAATTTAGGATAAAAATATTGAAAAAATTTAACAAAATGTAGTGTAATATTGAAGAATATTTTAAATGTATTTTTGTATACTATTCAATATTCTACTTTTCAGAATATTTTTAAATGTTATAAATAATATAACAAACATATTATAAACAAATAATGTTTAGCAAATAATATAAATTGTATAACAAATTTAAATTAAATATATTTGGACACTTAGTACAATTTCGTTCATTTTACTTTCATAAGCTTGTTTTAAGATGGTCATCAAATTTTGGTGTAATAATACAGCAACCATAAAAAGATTTTTGCAGAAACTGAATTACTGTTCAAAAAAAGAATATATTATTGAACATCATTAATATAAAAAATAAAAAGTAATACCTAATAATTGAAATTAATAGTAATTTTATAATGTTTAAAAATTTCTACATAACAAGAATGATTATTCTTATGATAAATGCTATTACTAATAAAGTTAATTCAATAGTTTATTATTACATACTCTTACAATAATTTATTTTAAAATACAGGGGAAAGATTAATTTATTAATAATAAATAAATAAATTTATTTATTAATAATTTTCTCCATTTATAGTAAAATCTTAATATAGAAATCTTATAATAAAAAGTCTGTAATGACCAACGTATATTAGCAGCTTAAATTATATCACAAATATGTAAATACAAATCATGATTCATCATTTCAAAATAAATAACTAAATAATGCAAACATCCCATTACCTTACAAGACTAAAAAGAAAAATTTTAGACACAACTATATCATTAAAAAATTAGAGGTTGTCTCTCTCCTATTCTTAATAAGAATTCATATTAATTACAATTATTAAATAATATTTAACATTAAACATCATTCATTACAATAAAATTCAGTGCCTATATCACTGCAACAAGCAATTGATATACAATGTTAAGAGTAAGATATTAACACTTTACTACTTTTATTTAACATTTGATATGTAATAGATTGCATATATTTATTAGATGGATGTAAAGTTTAGAGAATAATTATTAAAATTATTAATTACCAAATAATAATTCTAAAGAGTTAAAATAATACTATAATTATAGTAGAAATTAAGGGTTCAAAAATTATTAATTAGTTAATCGAATTAAATTATAAAATTTATAGGAAATGTGAATTTCACGTTGAAATATGTGCAGTTGTGAATAAGAGTACACATTAAATATTATGACATAACCAAATGTACATAAAATATGGAGTAGATTTAAAAGTAAAAAATAAAGAAAAAAGACAGATTCCTTTACCCCTGGAAACCTTAATACTAATAATATAATTGCACAACATAATAAAAATAAAATGTAAACTGTCCAACCAACAATAACAGAAGATAAATAATACAAATGAAATATAGAAAAAGGAGATATGAGCAACAAAATTAAAGAAAATTACATAAAACAAAATTTTATTTTAATCATCATAGGAATTAGTAGGAAATTATTAATTTTAACTAAGTAATGGAATCAAAATATTTTTAAATTATCATTAAATTATAATTATGTGTATTATATTATGTTCTTCATTCTTTATGTCATGATATTATAGATGTAAAAATAAAATCACTTGAGCATACGTGTAATGAGATATGAGATAATGAATAGTAATCATGCATCAAAATACGAAATCATTGGTTAATAAGCACAAATTAGAGGTAATAATGTATTTTTGTCAAAATATGAATAAAAAAGCAGAGATTCAAAAGCATGAAATAAATGTAATGTCTGTCAATACGGGCTTACTCTGCCGTACAAAAGAAAATGTCAATTTCCAATCTAAAATATTCATCTATGTTAAATTAAAAATTAAACTATACAATAGAATTTAAAAAGAAATTTGAAAATTCTGATATACCTATGATTTATGCTAAAAATTTATTTTTCCAAATTATAAAATAATACTTTCGTAAATAAATAATTTATTCCGAACAAGATAATAATTTTAATAGATCAAAATCGACAATATTTTTGATGATATTTTGTAAAAAAACATTGTTTTTCTATTACTCATTATATTAAAATACAAAATATTAAAACTAGTACAATATCAGTATTTAATGATAATTTAATTTGTTTAAAATTACAACATATATAAAATGTCTAACAAAGCTTTAAAACTTGTAATATTTTAAACAAAATTATACTATTACTTTTTATATATAAAAATTATAATAAATGAATATTTATTTTCTATAAATAAATATTTTCAAATGTCCATATGTATTTTTTAAATTTTAATATAATAGAAATTAAAATTCTTTTTAGAGAATAATTACAGCAATCGTGATATATTTAAATTTTTAAACAAAAATATGTACAATAACCAATTAATATTTTCGTTTCTAATTTAAAATACTAGAATACATCAAATATTCAACTTTATTTTAGATATTTTAGATATTATTGATTATTTCAAATATAATAATGTAATTACATAATTTAATATTGAAAATATATAAAATAATAAAAATATACTTTTTTATAATCACCCTATTTAATATACACAAAAGAATTTGAAAGTAAAAGGAATTGATAAAAATACTTTTTATATATTCTAATACTATTCTTACTAATGAAATTGTACATGATTAAATCATATGCATTAAGTGTACAGTTTTGATTTTTTCATTTGTTTGTATGATTAACCTCGTTCAGCATATCAATCTTAAGAAACGTCAAAGATTAAAAATACAAATTTCTACTCGAATAGAATGAATTTACCCATGTTCCCAGAGCCAATCAATGGTGAAATATCTAGTAAAGATTTTTTGACAGCTTCAAGAGGAGTGATTAGAATTCTCGGTATATTTTAATGATTGACTAAGAAACGCAAATGATAAACAAGTTCAACCATGTTAATTATTTTATTCGATAAATGTATACATTATTTTATTTTTACTTACAACTTAATTCTGAAAAGAATTAATTTTAAAAGGTAAAAATTCTTAGGACTTGAATAAGTTGTAATGCTTTAAAAAGTTTTATTAATAACATATTTACATAAATAAATCAAGAAGCAGTATCACACCATTAATAGTCACGTTTTTAAATTATAAAAAATTAACAATTAACTATTTACATGATATATAATAATTTTCATAATATACATCATTTTATTAGATTATTGTGGAAAAATGTTCATGCCTGTTAAACATAATTTACAAGTAAATATTGATGTAAGTAAATATCAGTTATAAATCTTTTTATATGTACATGATGAACCATCATTTTCACAGAAAATAGCAAAGATATTTAATCTTAATCGTAAAAATTATTCAACCTTACAAAAAATAATAATAGAACAAAAAAATGAAGTGGAAAGCCGTACTGTTATTGATGCGTTATTGTGGTTAGGAAGGTCAATATTTCTACTTATTATTCAAAAACTTGTTTAAAAATTAATAACCAATTATTAATTATACTGTTTAGTTTTTATCATAACTTAATATGAAATGATTTTTGTACTGTATTAATTGATGATAAGGTTTATTATTATAACAATAAATTTGGGATTATGTTTAAATATTATATTTTTATTGAATTATTGAAAAAGCATTGTTAATTTCAAATAAGGTGATAACGTTTTATAAAAAATCATTAAAAAAAGGATCAATTTGAAATAAAATTTCGATTGATCAAAGAATATTATATCATTACATTTGATTTATAACATTGAATTTATAACGATTAAAAATACATTTATAGTTTTATAAAATTAAAAGTTTATTATACTAATTACTTTAATCTGTGTAAAAAGAAAAGAAATATTTATAGCTGAATTACGTATTGATTATAATAAATATAAATATTTAAAATATCACTCAAATAACTAAAAAATGAAATAAAACCATAAGTGTATTTGTTACCAAATACATAAAAAATGTAAATTTGCAATAAAAAATCATTTTGTATCATAATTCTATTCATAATTGTAATCCTAATTGTGATTCAATTTTATAATTTAATTTTATTCCTTATTTTCACAATAACAACTAAACAATACAAAATAAAAATATTAATGTTAAAATTGCTATAAAATTACAAAAAATTTATTGAAATTGTTTTCTCATGTTTAATAATAATGAATATAAAATAAGCATTTCTAAGAAAATAATTTCTTTTTCTGTGTGTAAATTAAATTTATGATTAAAATATTACAGAGGATTACATATGATTCAATTATTTTTTGAAAGTATAGTTAATGATTTTGAATCGGGTAAAGGTTCTGAAGATCTTGTAGCATGCCTCAACAAATCTTATGAATTAACTTTGGAACCATATCATGGATATATATCTCAACAACTGTATGGGGTACGTGTAATAAAGAATTTAAATATCACCACTATCAGTTTATTAATTGTATGATTTTCAGCTTTTAGCTCGTATGATGCCGACACGTTCTCAAATACTACAATCAATCGCCAATGGGTATGATATAAAACAAGAAATTATAATCAAAACCATGCATAGATTTTCTAACCGATTGAAAGTAAATATAGTAATTCTTAAAGCACTTTATCAAGAACATGATTTAGAAAGTAATTTAGTTTGATTATATTTAATTTTATTAAAATTGTATATTACCTAATAGTACATGAAAATTGATATTACATTTTTATATTACATTATATTCAATTTACTAATCAAGTGTAATCTACAATATTACTTTTTATTATTTTATTGAGTCTTCAATTTCATACATTTGTGCTATATAGAATCTTTTAGCATGATGATCAGCTGACTGTTTTAAAGCAAGTGTACCAGTTAAAATTTCTATCAGTAAAAATGTTAATGCAATTCCATTAAATAGTTTTTCATTTAAATCATTTTCTGAATTTTGATCAAAAACTAAAAATATTTCTAGTGGAAACTGAAGAAGTGTAGAAATAATCCAAAAGCTTGCTAATTCTGGTATCTGAAATAAAAAACTAGAATTTTATGTATCTGTTTTTGAATTATCATTCAATTTCAATTTAATAATCAAATATTTTGTTATTCTTTATTGTTTTAAACATTAAATTAATTCTCTGTAAGGATTTAAAATGTTTTTTGTAGTATATAATTTGTAATATAATTAATATTTACACAAAAAGTGAAGATTTCAATTTAATTTTAACATTAAATCTATGACTTTTCAAATATATTTAGAGTCATTAAATGATTTATATAATTATGTAAATTTTAAATATAGATACATTTTTTAAATATCGTTCTCAAAAACTACTTATTATTGAAAGATTAAAACTTTTATAAAAATATAATTTATAGTTTTGATCGAACATTTAAGTATAGATTATTAATTAATTATTATACTTTATCACACAAGTTAATATTGAATTTTAAACATTAATGGAATTTTTTTTTTAATATTTTAGATATTAATCCCAATTATCTTAATTTTACAAATATTATATATTTTTTCATTTGAGCTGTCGCAACATTGTGATGGAGTGATCAAATTTTTAATTTAAAATATATATCTATTTAATAATTTAAACTCATTATCATAATATTATTTATTCATAATTAATACTGAAAAACACTGATATTAATATCTAATTTTCGAAACTTTTATTTCACAAAAATTGTAGTTCTTTTTATTATTAATATACAATAATTGTTAATAATTTTTTAAAACATGTGTAAGAATTGGAATACAAAATATTTTTACATTTTTTTATCAAAAGGTTTAAAAATTAAAATCATAATTGTTTACAAATTCCTTATTTGAAATAACAAGAATTTTCATATATAGTACTTTGGAATCATTTTTGTTACACTATACTATATACACTATATATAAATTTTTTTTACTTACTTTTTCACCAAGATTTCCTAAATATCCTAGGTAAAGACGTATAAATTCCAAAATGATTACAGCAAGAGTAATAGCAATCCAGACAAATTTATAAACTCCTGATAAACTATCATACTAGTAATAAGATATTAGATAAAAATATTTACTAATAAATTTTTATCAATAAATTTTAATACGTATTTATATACCTTTTATTTTTAAATTATATGAACATGGATATTACAAAAATTTAACTGAATAAGTAAAAATATTACCTTTCCATTCAAATAATATAAGACAATAAACATCCATATAGGTAAATAATGTACATTTAAATAAAGTCCAATTTGCAGTGCCAAACTTGATTTGATTTTGTTTCCTATACAATAAAATATGCAAAAATTATAAATTTAATCAACGTAAATATAACACAATTTAATTAATAATTGAAAAGATAAATTAAATATATTATATTCGACAATATTCTTAAACAAATTTAATTTGGAAAGATAGAAATTCCACACGTTACTATAAATTTAGAAATATTACCAATAATTTAAAAAAAAATTTTTAAGTTAATTACACACTTGTATCATAAAATTCTTTTCTTCTATCATGGCAAGATAATCCAGGAAAAATATGATTTGTAGCATTAATAATTGAACATTTCCACATGGCTTAAAACTACATCGACCATCAAGTTTTTAATTTAGAAAAAAATACATTTTTCTTTCGTGTTTATTTATATTTGACTACCTCCAAAGCAATAAAATGTTAAAGCATAACTACTGCCATCTAGAAGATGAATCTGAAAATATTTTATATTATTTTATAAATTGAAGGTTTTAAACAAAGGTCATGTAATTTCAATATGTAAATACTATTAAATTTTATATTTAGGTGAATAAAAATAATTAAAACCTGTACTTTTTTATGATTGACATATAAAATACAAATTTCTAAATGCATTTTTTATTTATTACAAAATCTTACTTTAATTTATGTAATATCAGGTTTAATATTAATGTTTCTAAAGCTGTCTTTAAGTTATACATTCTTAATATATAAGTGCATGTCAACATACTATTTACATCAGTTTAAATGAGTTATTTGTATGAAATAAACATTAATTAATAAAGTACTGCAGAAAGATTTACTTTATAAATAAATTTTTAAATTTTATAAATAAAATTTCAGAAACATTTAAAAAATATTAGCTACCATAAAAAGGAATATTTAAATACATATTACATTTATAACATTATTACTGTTTCTTTGATATTCCAGAATCATAAATATTCAATTATGTTAATATTAACTTTTACATTGAATTAAATAGTTTTGTTAGAATTTATTATCTCACATTTTTCTTCATTGTATAACCTGTAAATTAGATAAATGCGTAAAATTCAAATTAATACATTTTATTTAATATCAAACATAATTTTAAGTGAAATTATTAGTTTCATTCTATTTACTCAGCAACAATTTATTCAAAAAAACAAATATTGTAACATTTAAATATTTTGTCAATTACAAGATGCTCATATTAAGATATATTAAGATAATAAAGAAATACCCTTATTTAATATTATTGTTAATCAATTACTTTTTTATGAATTATATTAAATTTCTATATATTCATTTAGAAAACATTTCAATTAAAACAGGCATACGTAATTATAAATATATAAATATAAATAGTGTTGAATTTTAAAATAAAAATAGATTTATTAATATATTAGCTTATATGTTAATTGAAATTATATACAGATAAAAACCTATTCAATTATCATGTGTACATAGATTTGTAATTTATATAACGCATAAATTAAATTTTTACTTTCTTATAATCTTAGAGAATCATAGTTATAACAAATTATAAAATTTTCAATTTTTATAATAAAAATGAATCAGCATTAAAAGATTAAATTAATAAGAATAATTATTGTATTTTTAAAAACTATTTTTTAAATAAAATAATATTTGAATACATAATATCCGATGAAGAAAATGAAGACACGAATATTAAACAATTTCAGCTATGTGCAATGGAATTCGAACTCTAAATTTATGCCTCTTGAACGCACGCAATTTCAATAAGGATGCCTGCAACATCTCAAAAGTATAAATAATAGAATTATAAAATCTATTTTATTGATGTATAATGGTAAAAGCAAATTAATTTATTCATTGTTTTAAATTAACATTTCTATTTTAATCAGTAATATTTTTTGTACATAAATACATTTCAATTATAGGTTTTCATACTATAATAAATTAAAAACTTATTTCATATTATCAGCAATTTAATTATTTTATAAATTTATTAGCTACTATTTTAGTAGCATGCGTTAGATTAACTGTATTTTATTTTATTTATTTCAAATAGATTAACTGTAGATTTATTACAGTATAAATATAATCATTTACTTAATTATTTAATTTTATTATACTGCTGATATTACAAGTCTAATTCATCAGTTACGATTAATGAATGGTTGATAGTAATGCGGCTAATGAAAATAAGGAATGTATTCATTTGGAACATATATAACAAAGAACTAAATTTTGAATATAATAATATAACAATATTAATTAAACAAACTTTTTTTATAACAATTTTATAAACAATATTTTTTAAGTTATTGCAAGAATTTGTATTAAGAAACTCATAAATTCATTATAAATACAATTATATCAATTAAAAATCCATTCAAAACTGAAAATTGTTTTCCAAAATATTTATTTATCAAATGTAGTGATAATCAGTATTTTAATAAAAACCTCAAAAAAGCTAAAATTATACATTTACATTACTACATTAATGTCAAAAATTTATTAAATGAATGTGGTAGGTAATATATTTAAAGAATTTACATAATTATCTCATTCATTTTAAACCAATTCAATACATAGATTTTACATTTAATATTTCTATATGTTTTGTCAATTTCGCATGTTTCTAAAATTGAAACATTAATAAGAACTATAAACGGTTGCATCATCTAATGCCTAAATATAGTATATAATTTTTACTCGATGAAAAATTCAATATGAGAAAAGTTTTATAAAAAATAATTAAAGATATGGTTATACATATTGCATTTTACTAAAATACTTCAAATGTGTTATAAAAATTAATGAGGTAATAACTATATATGTCATGTTAAAGACCATATTCTTCATTATTATTTCCAGCTAGCAGTTTTATTTGTTTGTATAAGTGTAAGGGAGAAACATTTCTTAAGAGCTTAAAATGTTACATGCCTAGAAAATTTTGCATTGAATAGAGCTGCCAAACAGCAGTCGAATCATTAGAAGTCAGTGACCCAACTATTGGTATTTATCTAGGCCTTATAATTGCAAACCTTCACATCTCGCTCAGAATCGGAAAGCTCAATCAGATATCCGTAATTATTCACGACGTGTAATTGAATCCTCATTAATTACATATATTCCAAGTCCTAATAATTTTAGCTATATTATAATTATATATCTTATATAATTATATATAGTAGCTATTGAATAAATTAAATTTTGCACATTTTTATATTACAGATTTTATTTACTTATTAATAGTTATATAAGTTTACTGTGGATTGGACGTGTTCATACAACTATTTGGATTTTTGTAAAGATCAACCATTACCGTATATAAAGTAAGTACATATTAAAATTATATAAAAGTAATATCAATAATTTAATATACGCTTATTTAATAATGGTTTACATTTTGTCTTTATAAAATTTATATTCTCATAAAACTTACGTAACTTAACTGCCATTTGAAAATCATTATAATAATGCTTGTATTATTGCTCAAATATTTAAAATATTAATTAATAATATATGAATTCTAAAATATTATAGTTATCTTTCAATACTGCTTAAAACTTTAAGTATAATGTAAAATATTGTAAAATTACATATATTGTTTAGAACATTAAATTGTATATTTTTAATAATTATTCAAATATTATATCACGTAATATTACTTCAAATTATTCAGTATTTTTTATAATAATGTATTCATTATTACTTCAAAGTATTTATAGTTATATATTATTAATACTATAATTAACACTTTACTTTGTTATAGTATCAAATTAAAAAATACTTGTACTCCTGAAAATTAAAGTAACTTAATATATTATAGTAAATAGAAATTATAAATAATAACTTATATTTCATATAAGAAAAAAAAGATGAATATAATTTCTAAAAATCTAAAATATTTATTTTAATTCTTTTAATTATTAATCAGTTATATAATCTTCAATATACAATTATATTATTTTTGACATGAATTTATAAAATACTACTTAATAATTATTATTTTATTTATGTAAAAATAATATAATTTACAATAAATTAAATAATAATATTAGTAATAGCGACAGTGATAAAATCTGGAACAGAAGTGATGAACCAGCCAACCCAAAATCATGATGAGGTAATTTTATAATTTTTAATTGAAAAACTTATAAATAAATTTGATTAGTATTCATTTATAATATTCAAATTAATATATGTACTAGTCTTTATGTTTATATCATTTATATAATTAAATTAATTTTATTAATTTCCTAAATGTTATTATTTGAATTTGATAATCCCTTTTTTATAAATTGTTTATTATTTTGTACATTCAAATTAATTTTTATATTTACCAGTAAATCAAGAAAATATTTAATTAATTTCAAATTATATACTATAATAATTGTTTCTTATAAATATTTATATATTTTATTACTTATTATTATCTAATAAATATTTAGATTTTTTTTTAATACAATAAATTATAAAATATTGCTTTATAGATAGAAAAAATCTTAAAACTTTATAAGCGTTTAAGTCAAAATCCAAGTCTAATATCTGCTAGAATAATTTCTATAGCGAGAAATGGAATATCAATTCAAAGCGTATGGGCACAAAGAAATTTAGAAAGAAACATAAAACAAAAATTCACTCAGGATTTTAATCTAGATGCAGATTTACAGCCACTTGTTGAAAGTTTTCCTGTAGATGTTACTTCTGAGTCAGTATACATTTATAACCTTCATCTATTTTATGTTTAAGATCATTATTATAATTAAATAATTAAATAAATAATAATAATAACAGTTTATATACAATAAAAAATGAATATTTTTATGATATTTAAGACTTTTATCAGCTTCATCGGAAAATGAAAAATTGAAAGCAATCTTAAGAGAAGTTATAATTGATGGCAAATCTAGACAGTTTATAGAAATTTGGGATAGACAACATCTAATTAAGACATATGATTTAACCGCTTACGATGCACATGGACAAATTTATACTGACAGTAAGAATTAGTTATATTTTATTAAATATTATAAAAAGTAAAAAAATTATGTGTATTATACGTACATATGTATTAATATGTATTTATATAAAATATATTATAATGAAATTAGTTACTGTATTTATTATGATATACATATTTTACTTATTTCACAAATAATATTATTATAATTTAATAATATAATTTTGAACAATACGAATATATGATTTTGTTAAATTTCATCTAACTACTAGTATATCTTAATTTTCAAATATTTTATATACCAACTAACAACAATCGTAACATTGATATTAATTAATAATAAATATTAACAAAATTTATATTTTGATCTCAGGAAAGAAAATATTCTATAATAATTTCTAAAAACGAGAAAATGATTGTTATTTCGTCATTTTAAATTAATATACTTTGAAATGCAGCATGATTTAAGGATTTAATCATTTACTATATTAACATAAACACTTATTTAACACAATATACCGGATTTACTATAATGAATAATTGTGCAAATAAATGTAAGAATTTTAAATAAAGTCAATTTTTATTTATCATAACTATATTGTATACCATATTGTTATATACCATAATTATATGGTTTTGTATTATCTGTTCTGTAAATATGATGATTACAAAATAATTTTTATATGAATTTTAATATTTTTAATTTTACTCAATTATTGTATAAAAAAATTAATATTCAATATTTTCACAACGGATCATTTAAACATTAAACTAAATTACATATTTGCAATTTACTTTCAATTTTTTCATTCAATTTTGTGAAATTGTATGAAAAAAATGTAAATATCTATTAATTGTTAAAATATATAGAAATACATCATAATAAATTGAATCATTATCATTATTTCAACATATTTTTTGTAAAAAGTGTAATTATAAATGTTTGTATTATATTTGTATATATTTTATATTATATATGTATATATTTTTTCATTTATGTACGTATGTGATATTTAAATCAACTATATTGTTGCATTAACTATGAGTGAATAATGAGTTTTTAGATATTTTTAGTTCCTTCCAATGGTCACCCGATAATACAAAACTGATGTATATAGCTGAAAAGAAATTGCGTAAAAGTGAGCCATTTTATAAACAAAAATCTAAATATAAAATTTCAGTTCAAGAAAATGAAGAAGAACCGGAACGGGTAAGGAAATTAGCGTTTACAAATACAAATTAAAAAGAAATAAAAAAGTTAGACTGTGTATACATATATAAATGTTTATATTTTGTACACTTAAAATAAGTTAAAAAATATTATTTTTCTAAGGTAATTTTCTATTAAAACTTCGTCGTATACTATGCAAACCAGTTATTAAATTACTATATTTTCTAAATTGAATTTTTAAGAAAATTTGTGATTACTATTTATTCTTATCTAAACAAAATTTATAATTTTTTAACACACTTAAGGTATTATAGTTTTATTATAACATTTCGGAAAATACTCAAAAACAATTTTAATTTTTAGTATAAAAAATTTGTTTATTTTGTTAAATTCATAATTATTAATTATTAATGTTTATATAATTTTGATTATATATTTAATTTGATTATATAATTAATATTTAATGAATTACTGAAAATTAAGTTTAAAAAATCTCTTACTATTCAGGGTACAGAATATGTTTATAAATCAGATTGGGGTGAACAATTAGAAGGGAAACACCAATCTGTAATTATAATTCTAAATATTGTAAAAGACACTTTGCTTCCATTACCTTTTATTCCACATGATTATTTCCCCGCTGAGGTTATTTGGACTCCAAATGGTGAATGTATTGTAGGTGTAGCTTACAAACTTTACCCTCGATATCTTGGTCGATTTGGATGCAGTAATAGGGAATCATATATCTTTCTACTAAAAGGAGCAGAGTTTCGTAAGAAAAAAATGTTATTAAATATTCATTATTTGTATATAATACTTATTACTAATTGAATTATATTTTATACATTCCAAAATTAAAAATACATATAAATTTGAGATAGTAAAGATTAATATAATTATATTAATAAAAATAAATATCTTGCACTAAGATTCTAGCGTGTTCGTTGATGGTATTTTAGAAATCAAACTGTTTTTGCAAATATTACAAAACATTGTTTTTGTTTAGTTTTACTAATACAATAATTTAAACTCGAATTTTCACATTCTAAAAAGTAGACTTATAAATTCTGTTTAATTGCAATTATTTAGAGTGTTTCTTAAATCAATATACGCTAATTTATTTAATGTAATATTTAATTGAATATCAGCATTAAATTATCTAATAAGATAGGTGATTGATATAATTGCATGTATTCATTGATAGAAAGCGATTTCAAATTATATACATTCAAGTATAATTAATAATTGAATATATAATTATGCTGTTAAAATATAGAATATTAAAATAATATCGACTTTTATGGATTAAAGCAGCTTTTTAAAATAGTTGTATACTAGATATTTTTATGTAATTTTTATACATAAATAAATTTTTTCTGTTTAGTGAATATAAATGCTGATCAATGGTTATTATATATATATATATATATATATAATCTTTTCTAATTTGCTCGAGTAGAATGTCTAAAATTAAGATTATTTCACATTTAGTAACAATTAAATTTTTACATTCGAAAATGTAAGCATCTTTTTTTTAATTTAACAATAACGTAAATTACATTTAACTCGAATTTTTATTCTATTGAAAATACAGTTCTCTTAAGAATCATTTATGAGAATCAAAATATAATCAATAAAATTCAATATATTATTCATTTTGTTATTTTTTTTATACCGTATCAAATGAAATGTTGTCTAATTATTTTGTATCCCGAATTTTACATTTGAGGCGAAGAAAATTAATTATTTATTAATAGTTTTATTACATTTGTTTCTTTGTAAAATATCTTAGATTGTTATATGAAAAATGATGATATATTTACAAATGATTAAATATTACTATTAAACATTGAAATATTCTTTCAAATATGTATTTACCAATGAAAATACATATAAAATAAATAATTTACTTATTTACATATAAAAAATACATATTCAAATAAACAATTTACATATGAAAATTAAATTAATTTATTATTTAAGTTATATTTTGAAATAAATTGTTAATTTCATTTTACAAAATATTTCAAATATGTTAATATTTGAAACTGTTGATTTATATATTTATTATTACGTTCTAAATTTGCATATATAGTAATGAGTTACACACTTAGTAAATAATGACTAATAACAAATCAATATTAATATTTTTATGATAAGTTTTAACACTCCATTACGTTTAAATTAAATGAAATAATTAATAGTATAAAGTTTTTAATTAGTCTGAAAGAATAATGAATTATTATCAATAAAGGAATTTAAAACGATTAATGTTAAAAGTATATTATATTAAAAATATAATACAATTATTGGTACAATTAAAGGTAAATTAACTGGTCCAGATAAAGCCTGTAAAACACCGCAATTCAGTCCTGATGGAAAGCATCTTATTTGGTTAGAGCGAGACATTGATAAACCTCATCACAACGTTCAAAGACTTATGCATATAAAATGGGATGAAGTTGAAACCGTAAGCTTCATTTAATACTTTTGATATAAAATAATTTTTTTTATATTAAATTTATATATTATAAGATTTATGAAAATAAGGTGGTAAGATTTAAACTAATTATGTTAAATAATAATAATAATAATAATAATAATATATATATATTTTTTTTTTGTAAAATCATAATTTAATACTACATTTTAAATATTTAAAAGAATATTTTTTTAGTAGAATTGATTAAATAGACGACTTAATAAATTGATTGTAATTTAAAAACTTCTTTGACTATATTATTTTATATCTTAGTTTAAACATTTTGTAGAATATATTACATTTCTTCATGAAACACTAAAAATTTTAACAATCTATTGTTATTTATCGTGTTTAATTTTATAATTATAACTTATACAGAAATAAGAATATAAGAAAAATAAATATCATATCAATTTAGTTAATAAATATAGTTATAATATAACGAATTTCCAATTTACTGTAAATAATTATTTAAATGAAAAATAAATACATAATATAAATAAAATATAATTCAATTCCCAATTTATAAATAAATGATACTTTATATATAGTAAATGATGATTCATGTCTTTAATACAATTTCATATTGATACATTGTCATTGTAAAGCATTAACATGTCAAAATATTTTTTATTTAACTTTTTTAATTGTTTAATATTTCAATCGAAATTTGATTAAAAATTTTACATACACATTTGTTTTTAATAATGTAAAGTTTACCTGCTTCATTTATTTCAATGTAGCGTATACTAAAAAACTAAACCGTTACAAAATGAAAAATAATATTTATTAATATTATTCTTCTTAGCCTGATGTCGTAGTTGACTTGGTAAACAAATGTATAATTATTGCAAATGATAAAAAATTTTATGGGTTTTATGGTCAAACTATTCCTAAGCGTTGTTGGAGTAATGATTCACAATATTTATTTCTTAGTACACCTCAAAGATCAAACATAAAATCATATGTCGTTAATTTGGGTAAATAATTGAATTTATACAATTTATTATCTTTGATAATAAATTAATAAATTTTAATACATTTGCATTGTAGAATCTAAAATGGTGACTGAAATAGAAAATCCAGATGGAAGTAGTTTAAGTGTTTTAGATGTTAGAAAAAATCGTGTAGTATTTACAAGATTTTCCATTATTCAACCACCACAATTGGTAGTTGGAAAATTCGATCCTTCTTTAGAAAATGTTGGACATTTGAACTTGTATAACTGTACAAGCCCACTTGATATACCAAACAGTCAAAATCTCATGTATGAACATACTGAGTTTGTCTACAAAACGAGTGAATCTATTAGTAAGTACATACATGTACTAAATTATCAGTACAAATTGTATTTTTATTTAAATTAAAAAAAATTAATAATACGGAATTTTTTAAAACGTTAAAATTATGAATAATTTTAAATTAATGCTTGTCGATTACAATTCTGAGATCTATTTTAATTGAATTTATATGTAAATAAATAATTTTTCAATACTTAAATAAAGTATTTCTTACAGAAGATTTTAACTTTACATATTTTGGAGAAAAAGTTGCACCAGAAAAATCCATGCCCTTACTTGTAGTACCACATGGAGGACCTCATTATTCATTTTGTAATCAGTTTAACATAGATTATGCGATTTTTGCTCTTATGGGTATTTTACATATTTTTAATTATTTTTAAAATATGTAATATATATTGTTAAACCTTATTTACAGTGCTTTTTAATTTTAAGGATTTGGAATTTTACAAATAAATTTTCGTGGATCTACTGGTATGGGAGGAAATAATATTCAATTTCTTGCTGGGAGAATTGGTGAAACCGATGTACTTGATTGCGTAACAGCAGTGAACTTAGCATTACATAAGTATTCTCAAATTGATCCAAATAAAGTAACTTTATATGGTTTATGTCACGGTGCTTTCTTATGCGCTCACCTAAGTGGACAACATGCTGTAAATACTTTTCACATAAATACTACTTTTAAAATCATTATTAAATACAAACAAATTAATTTTATTACAGAACATGTTTAGAGCAGTTGTAATGAGGTCTCCTATTATCGATATACCATCCATGTTTACCGAAACTGATATTCCAGATTGGTAAGAAATGGCTTTTAATAAAAAAAAAGATCTTATTAGATGATTAAGCAAATAATTTTTAAATCTTATGAAAGAACTAATAACTATATTATACATTCGTAAACATAACTATGAAATAGTTTGTTATTGAAATATTATTTTGGATAAGTATTTATATTATTTAAAATAAATTAATGTTATTTGTAGGTGTCCTGCTAATACTGGCTGTCAATTTCTTGAATCGCTACCCCCAGCAACTTCCGAAACAAAGTATACTGAAATAGTTTTGAAAATGTTCGATCATTCGCCTATTCGTCATGCAGATAAAGTTAAAGCACCTACAATGATTGCTGTTGGTACAAAAGATTTGAGAAGTCCTGCTTCCCAAGGAAGATTATGGTATAATCGACTACTTGCAAACAATGTTATATCAAAGTGAGTTTTTATTATCAAATAAAATATACAAAATAGTTTCTAATTGATGCAGTAAATAAAATTATTAATTTTTTTTTATCTAAAATTTATATATAATTTAAAAATTTCATATTAATAAAATATAAAATGAATCATTTTATCATTATTACTTACTTTTTTAAAATATAGATTTAAATATTCTTTTTAGTTTTAGGTATGAAAATTTTTTAAAATAAATAATACATTTTTATTATTAATATTTGATATACTATAAGATATTTAATTAAATCGTTTTAATATATTATCTTTGATATAAAAAACAAATATTTTCAATTATTTAGGCTTTTTATATATGAAGATAATCATATGTTAGCTAAAGATGTAGTCGAAATCGACTTTGTGATTAATGCAGCACTTTGGCTCTTAAAATATATTAGTGATACACCAGAAGATCCAAAATCTATTGTATTAGCAGAAGAAGTAACAAAAGATGAAGATAATTTAATTGGTAAATAAATAAAAAGCCATACTTTTAAGATTCCAAATATTACAAAAATTTGTTAAACTAACAAAATTTTGGCTTATATTATAAAAATACTCATCAAAATATAGCAAGACTAATTTTGTATAAAATCAAGTTTTAATAAATCTGATTGCACTTAATATTTATATTATTTTAATTCTTATGCAATAGGAACTAATTTGGGTTTATTAGAAAAGTGATTTCTTCTTTAAATAAAAATAAATCCGACTACCTTTTATCATATCTGTAAAAATGTATGAATTTAGAATTCTGTTTGAGAAGCTCATACAAATATACCGTACTATTGCAATAAGATTTTAGCTGCTCATTAAAATAATAGTAGACCAACAGTAGTGATTTCATTCAGCCTTAATTCAGTAAAACATAATACAGATGCTATATACACTTTATCTTTTCCAATACACGATGAGGCTTTTATATCTCCCTTTTCTTATCTTTTTCTTTTCTGCAATTTTAATCTTTCACTAAATGAAACTATAAATAACATAAATCCTTTTTATTAAAACAATAATGAAATTATTAATTTTTTATTATTCATTCTTAAATTAATAGTATATCAATCAAACAATAATTGGTATACAAAATCAAAATTTTTACAAAATTATGTATACATGTAAATTAAAATCACTATCCAAAAATAATTTATAAATTTGAAAAGGTCAATATTTAGACATATATAAGTTTCTAGCATAAATTAAATTTTCAATGGTTTCATAACTGCATAGTCACAAAAGAATTAGTATATATTATATCAAAGGGTATTTATGTGTTTAACTATTAAGAAATATTAATAATTTATCTATTAATAAATATGTATATTTATTTGTATATGTTAGTTTATAAGATTTATAAGATTAGCAGTAACTAAAATATGTGAATTAAAAATGAAAAAAGAATACTTACATAAAAAATTCCTGTATTGAATAAAAAAATAAAATGGATTCAATTAATATAATAAATTATGATTGTACAAAAAATCTTAAAAAATTGTAAATTATGAAGGTAATTATGTAATTGAAATATTTTTTATTACAAAAAGAAACTACAACTGTTGCAATGAAATTATATATGAAAATTACAAAAATTAAAAATCTATTTGAATATTAATTTTATAGAGTATTTTTTATTCTAAATAAAACTTTTATTATTCACATATAAAAAAGAAATTATAAATCACTGTTAATTACAGATTAATACTTAATATAAGAGATAATAGATAAATAACTTAATAACAATAAATGTACATCGAATGAATAAAAAAATTTAATTTATACTATCAAAATTGTGAGTACTATTTCACAAAAAATACAAATTTGCTTGGTAAAAAGAAATCTAACAACACGACAAAAAGGGTTATATATATATATTTGTAAGTACGGTAAATAGCTAGTAGTGCTTTTGTAAACAATTTATATAATAATTTCAAATATATCTTATTTAAAATACATTATTTAAAATTTATATGCAAAATTTTTTCTGAATGTATTTAAGTGGCTGGATAAAACTGTACGTGTGAAGTCAAAAATGTTTAATCGTTCATTTAATACTTCTATGTAAGAGCTATAAAAACTAACCAAGAATAAATAATATTTCATATATACTTTATCAACTAATAATAATTGTAATATACTAATAGTAGTAATACTACGAACGAAAAGTTAGATCATTAAAATCTTAATGTTCTATTTACTTCAACCTAAACTTGTAAGTAAATTTTTTTAAATTATATCGAAAATAAAATAATCAATTTACAATTCAACTTTAATTGTAAAATCTAGTCATAAATTTTCTTAACTTTATTTATTTATCATGGTATAGTTTATAATTTTTATTATAATAATTTCATTATATTATAAATAAATAATGTATATAATACAAAATAATATAATTTATAAACAATAACAATAAAATTATTATATCATATAAAATCTATAATATAGTCTACCAGCATGAAATAAATTCATAAAATAAATTTAGTAATCCTTAAAAATGCAAATTTAATCTTTTTAAAATTTTTAAATAATTAATTCTTTGGTTAGTTTTTTGTTTACTATATGAAATATATATAATTTTAATGACATTGATACCAAATTCTGTAATATCATATAATTTAACAGTGTAATTGAAAAATTCATTACATTGAAAAAAATTAAATTTAAAAAATCATATTACATGATCAATATTTAAACAAATTTTTACGTAAATACTTTCAATTAAAAATTTAAATATATTGTATTATTTTTAACTTACAATTTAATATTTCTTTAAAGATTATGAAATTTCTATCAATACATTATTTATATATCCAATAATATTAAAAGAATATATTTTCATACAAATTAACTTATTTATTTATACTTAATACATAAAAAGCTACATCCTTCGTTGTTTGAAATTTGTGATTTAATTGTCTTATAAGCAATTAGTTTAGAATTAATCATTATTGTATATTAAATTTTATTTCTGTAGCTAAAACTGAAATTGTAGTTCAAATTACACTTAAAATAAAAAAAAATAGGAATTTTTTTTAGAACTTACATTGGACCTAAATTCACAGCCAACTGTAAAATGTTTTTCAAGAAATTCTAATTCTGAGTGAGTATATTTTTAAATAATAATTACTATGAAATTATAATAAACAAGTTATTTCAATTATTAAATGCATTATGTAAAAGTATTATAACTGATAGTGTTTTATGAATTTTACTTTTGGATATAATTTAAATATAAACCTGCAATTTAAATATATTTGTAATTCAAAAAATTGTACGTTTTTATGAATTTTGGAAAATGAAAATTTGAAAACAAATTTAAGAAATTGTAAAATTAAAAAAACTTAATATTTGTAAAACTCATACTATTGTTTTATTCTGTTATGAGTAAAATAGACTATTGCATCAGTAAAAATAACTTAATTCCCTGAATAGAACTTATATTTAGAATCAAAAATAATCAAACTTGAAAATAATGTTACATTTACTTATTACAAGTAGTGATCTAAATTACAAGTACTTATTAATAGTTAAGATACTTCTAATATATTATACTCGAATGATTCTTATTTGTAATTATAATATATAAATTAATTATTTTAAATACATAAATAAATACTTTTACTTTAAGTTAAATCAATTGGACAATGTAGATCTATCAAAATATTATACTGTGTAAAATCAATTATTTGTTAGTTTTGATGCACTAATATCATCATTATTATAAAAAAAAATTTTCTGAATGAAATGATATATAATATAAAGAAAATCCGAAAAATCTATCGAATAATGTTCTCGATCGCAAAAAAATTAATTTTATAATAATATAGCTGATTTTCACGATATTATCTGATAATCTTTATTTAGGATAATAGTATATTAGTTATATATTATAAATATACTGTAGCTACATTTTACCAAATGAGAATAGCCCAAGTTCTGATTACTTTTTTTAATATTAAGTAAAAAGATTTTCATACTCTAATTATATAGAATTAAATATTTTGAAAATATGAATTTTTAAAAATCTTTACAACTTTAAAAATATCTTAATATAATTATTTAATAAGCAATTAAATTATAAACTATTTTACTCTTATAAATATTTTGCTAATTATTAAATATTTAAATTTGTAGTATAAAATATGTATATGATAATAAAATAGGATTTATACAAGGTATATTTCCTTCATATAAACATAAAAAGAACATTATTATTGATCTCTATAATTAAAATAAAATTTGAAATATTCGTTTAAAAAAAATAATTTTTGTTTTATTTTACCTTCAGTTTTTGTTTGTTTAAAGATTCAATATCTGAAATACATTCTAACATCTTATTTATCCACCTAACTAACGAAGAAAGTATCAACATATAGAGGCATCGCAGCAGAATAACATTGAATGACAACCATGTCAAAACAGGTAAATTATATAAATATAGTTTCAGAAGTTCGATTTATCTAATTATTTCGACAAAGAGGAATACATCTATATTTATCATATTTCTTTGATTATCTACTAATATCATTTAAGCTACTGGATCTTTTTGAACACACGAATTTTTTGCATGCATAAAATATTAAGTATAAATTAAATTTTAATTGTCATATAATATAAGTGATTGAGATTGACATAAACATCTATGACTGCAATATAAGTTTAATATTTTAATTTATTTACTAGGAGAAAAAAAATGTTTATTTAAAAATGTATATTTAATAAAAGTCTATATTTTATATTATTATTATTTAAAACTAAAAACTCAAACCATTTTCCATTAAGCAAATACAATTATAATATGTACAAGTAAATAATTACCTTTTACTTAAATTAAATTAAAATTAAATTAAATAAATTAAATAATTAAAAATATATTGAATATAGAAATTAAGTATAAACATTATTAATATACTAAATATATAATACAATACTAATTTAAATTATTATAAATAACAATGTGTTAATGGTAATATTTTATTATTTAGGTCTTAATACTCTATATAAAAAATTTGAAAAATAGTTGAAATAATGAAAAGCAATAATCCTTCAGATTTAAAAAAATATATGTATTTCTAAACCGCACCCTATAAAATTTAAAAAAAAGACAAATGAGAAAAAACAGAAAAAATCAAAGATATAATTGGGAACATTTATACTAGGTTAATTTAAAATAATTTTATAGAGTTACATTGTTTGATAATTATAATAATTAATAATTACATTGTTTTTCACTAGTTCGAAAATATTAGTTAATCCCTAATCGTTCATAAATTAATACAATATAGTATATTGTACATGTATGGTTAAATTTCTAATAATTCCAAGAATATTTGTAATAGAAATTGGTGATATAAACAATGTAATTTTATATGTATTATTTTATTTGTGGATATATATATACACTGTGCGGAATTAAAAGTTTACGCATTCGACACTCTATGGTATCATTACCAACAATTCTACATTTTTATAAATTTTAACAAATTTCTAATTTTACAAAATATTATGAAAAGATTAAAACTGTTTTATTTATGAACCATAATTATGTAAGTAACATGATTTTTATGCATTTTTCGTTCATTAACCGTAAGTAATATATAAATCTATTGATACTCATTTTAATCCAATAAATAATTTCTAGGAAATGACAGTCAAACGAAGCGTATCTAAAGACAATAAAGAAATAATAGCCGGCTACAAAGGTCTTAGCTAGCATGTTTTTAAAACATGATATAATATTTATCGACTATTCCAAGAAAATAAAAACAGTTGTAACGCAGTTTATATAAATACATACTTTTTAAAGCTATAATAGGATATGCACTAGCTTCAGTTAGTTTAATATTTGTATTTAAAAATTGAAAATTTTGACAATACGATAATTAATTAAGTTACTCAATTTTACAACAATAAATAAATACAACTACAAGGCCAGACCTTTACTATCAGATTTGACGTCAATACAGGTTAAAAAATTGGACAAACATGTTGAAGTTAATGAATTGAAAAATAATTGGAATAATGAATTGAATGTTGCATGAAAAATCTTAACTAGGTCTTACAAACGTAATTTTCTGGCTCACACTACTCGCTTTTCCTCGTTTAATCAAACTTTTGTTTTACCTTTTCTATTATTTTTATACTATTTAAATTTTCTTTAATAAATATTATTAATTAATATTAATTTAAAATTATTAATAATACTTATGATAAATTTGGTAAATTATAAATTGAAATTGTAATATTAATTATACTACTCCAATAAAAGTCATAGTAATTAAAAACTAATGCATTTTATTGTTGTTTTTATATTAATTAGATCTAAAATATTTTTAATTTTTAATATTAAAAATTTAAATATATAATTGTAGAATAATTTCAAAGTATGAGTCTATCAAAATTAATGTATATTTTGAATTTTTAATTAATCGAAACATCAAAAATATCTAAATATTATTAGTAATTGGAAAAAATGGAATAAATTCGATTTTTTTCATTGATAGTTTAAAATTTTTCTCTACGCATAAAATACATATGGCTTTAATTCCAAGAATTTATAGCTGAAATTAATTATCATTTATTTATAATTATTTTAGTTAAATTTAATAAAGTAAATTATTAGGTATATGATAATGATTATAAATATGTTCTTACTGTAATTTAATTATTACGATTTTTATTTTATTTTGTATGATTCTTATTGTTGTTTAAATAAATAAATATTCAAAAGTTTCCAAAAATAATTCTGTTCGAAAATGTTTGTTTATTTTTATCTGATTCGAAGGATCAAATGAATTTAGTTTGCTGGCTCGAACTGCCAAATTCAATAGCGATGCTTAGGAACGGACATAAGTGGAAGTGTTGTAAATATGTTCAGTATGTGTAACTTTGTTCAGTACATCGTTTATTTGATTTTATTGAGAATTACACTGTTGTTGTTCTGTATTCACTTCTTGTAGTAAATAGTGAATTATGTTCTATCACAATGATGTAGGTGTTCCTTGGTGATGATGACGATGTCGTAGATGGTGTTATGGGTATCAACAATGGATTTTGTATATTCCCTGAAGGGGAATATGACTTGTTGAGGTCTATACCAACGTTGTAAAGGTTAGCAAGAAGAGCCAACACTCATAAGGCGAGCATTGAAATGTGGTCGGTGCTAATGTGGCAGGGATTAGCAGGAAGAATCGACCATACTCATATGGGGAGCATGGGAATGTCTCTGTGGTAACGTGCCAAGGTGTAGCAGGAAGAATCGACCATACTCATAAAGGGAGTATGGGGCTGTCTCTGCGGTAGTTACTCTTAATAAAGACTGATGGTATACCTTCGATTGAAGAAGGGTCTGATACCATGCATTGTGTAGTCAACCATTTTCTAGAACTGCAGATGGCCCTTGATTTGTTGTTAACCATTGCGCACTGGAGAATTGACCGTGTGTTCCTTGCAATGGCTACACTGAGAGTGCGTGTGTTGCGTGACTTTCTCTCTGTGTAGACTCCCTGCAATGGCGTGGCTAGGACGAGTGACTGATTCGGAGCAATAACTGGTACTGTGCACTAAGTAACTGCTGAGTAATAACTGTCGACACTGTGTACTGAATTAAATGGTTATAAATTATTATGGTTTCACTGTTGGCTTACTGTTATAAATAAATTTAGCATTCATTAAAATACTCTATTCTCAACATTTCATTTAGGAATATTGCGCTCTAGTCACAATATGTCACCGTAGAATTATATAAATTCTTTCTTTTGATATTATTCATCTTCAGATTTGGATTATATAAATGAAAATCTAATATGAACTATGTGATTCGAAAGAACTTTCAATATATAATTGTCAATATATGAACATTCATGTTATTTAGAAATTAAATTACATACGACCAACCAGCTGCAGTATATTATATTTCTATAAATGAATCTATGCGTAAATGATTTCTATATCCGTATAGCTAACATATATGTCAATAACAAATTAATAATCGAACATCAAATATTGTGCAATAAATATTTTTTACATAAATAATGTGACATAAATGAACTAGATATTTTTTATACAAATTGCTTAGATTAAGGATAACATTATACCTTGACTTTTAAGTTTTCATAAAATTTTATCTCTACAGTATATTGGATATATAATATATTTTGAGATTATTGGTTTTACGGAACTTAATACATTCCTTATAACATTAATCTATGAAATTTATTTATACAATTCTGTCATGTCATTTTAAATTATTAAAATGAGCTTGTAAAAATTTAAATAATTTCTAATTCAAATATGTTTCATACTTTTTAGCGTATTTTTTTCTTTGTCTTTATACATAATGAATAGTATTTCTGTCTGATCAAATGAATAGAATCAATACTGATTTTCTACTTAACATACGTTCAAATTGTAATTCACCGTTATTAATAAGTTTCCAATCTGTAAAAATCATTTTTTTAAACAATCAAGTACGCCTTGTAGCCTTTTAAAAAATTGTGAAATAAAAGCTTATGTTTAAATCAAGAATAATAATAAGCATACATGCTGTTCGGAGTTGGCGCAACTTCTAAGACCGTGACTATCGGCAACGCTAGCCTCTCTAGCTCTCAAGTTTCTGTAAACACTTGGGACGAGAATTTTTCGTGTACTTGTTATGTTTTGGTTTCAAATGTCCCACAATATTTATATAGTCTTCGATTAATAATGTCGCTTGGAATTCTCCAAATTTCTGACGCCTTGATTTTTCTTAGAATTCTCGAAGCTTCTATATTTTTCATCTGTAAAATTCATGTAAAATTCCAGTATAGCAACAACGATGCTTTGTTGCTAGTTAAGTAAGAGGTCCCGTAGATATATAAGGCAAGCACGCGACGAGCCTCGCTCTCTAGCATTGAAACTTTGTAGCAGTGAGACTCGTCTAGTGAACTCACGCAGTAATAATCTCTTAGCACAGCCACCACGGAACAAACAAGCCTTCAGTTTCGTGCACGTATTCAACAAGCTTGTAGGCTCACGGTAAATTTTTCAATCAGTTATCAGTAATTACTCTACACAGCAACTAAACTCCACCATAAACCAGTCAGTCAGTTTTACTCATTATATGTATATAATAGCCAAATACAGTGAAGCAAATACATTTAATAACAGTTTAAGTGCGCTATAGTTTAAGCAGTCAAGAGCGCTGATTGCATTCCAAGAACGACCACGAAATAAGAAGTGTAATACCTGCGCACTCATCACAGAATTCGGTAAGACAAATAAATTTCTGTGAAATTATTGAAAGTGCGAATGCGCCGGCTTCGTACTTCGGCTTTGATTGAAAGCATGTACGGGCCAATGTCATACGACATAGAAGGTGAGAGTGCACCAGCCGCAATAAGCATTATTTGGATCGCGAAGTTCCCGCGAATGGTTGAAGATGCAAGATAAAATACCGGCTATAAGGGCTTTATTTGGATCGCGAAGCTCGCGCAAACAGCTGAAGGTGTAAGAGAAAACACCGGTTACAAGGGCATTTATTAAAGGCGCGAGTTCGCCAGCCATCACGAGCATTACACGAAGAAGTACCAGAGATTTACGACCTCTTACTTTCAGTGTAACCATTTACCATCAAGCACACTAGGTCAAGGATCAGAAGATTTACAATCTCCTACCCTTGCATGTAATATATACTAATGTCACGTGAGAACTACCACTGAAATGCAAAATCTCACAGATTCTCAACACCATCATAGAATCATATTCATTGTGTAGTCTGTAAAATAAAGGGAAAAAACAGTAAGATACGCTAATTTTGTTAATAATTGAATAAATGCGCTAATCCTTCCACTTACCTGCAATCCTCCCACCGAACATCTGGAAGGTTTTGAGTCTAATTCTAGGTACATATTTAGTAAATCTCAAATTATAAATGGAAATTACATATAAATGGAGTTTCTATAATTATCAATATATCATGATTATATAAAGATTTTTAATTTCCTCGCTTAATTGACATTCATCATTTAGCGATTTAAAAACTACATTAGGATATAATGCACTTTTAAGTTGCAATATGCCTGTAATAATATTTTGATCAATTGCACTCTTTATTTAATATCTTATTTACAATCTTTTGATTATTAATTTGCAGCGTACTCGATTAATTCAGTTCAAACAAACGCATATAAAGTAAATTTTTTTAAACAGTGAAATTAATTTAATCTTAAATCCACCATAAAATAATTTAAATATATCCTAGTTTATAATTAAATTATTATTAATAAAATGTATTCATATTATTATTTTTTTTAATTTTATTTTATTTCCGAATCTTTTAAACATCTTTTAAAAATATTGGTTAATGAAAGCAATAATTTCATTTTATTTCTTACATTTTTGGTAAAACAAATAATATTTAATTCGCAAATATTAAAAATACTAAAAATAAGTCTATTTGCAGACAGATGAAGTATTAGATATATTCAAACAACTTAATAAAATTCCAAGTTTTGTATCTGCAAGAATTCTTTCTGAAACGAATAATAAAATTACGATACAATCTGTGTGGTCTCAAAAAAATTTAGAAAGACTTGTAAAACAAAAATTTATTCAAGAATCTACTTTTGATACAAATTTACAATCACTTGTACAAAATTTTCCTATTGAAATTACTTCCGAGTAAGTTTCGACAACATGATATATAATTATGTTTAATTAAATACATAGTTATATATAATTTTAAAATATTAATATTTACTTTTATGAAAGGCTTATGTCATCAATTTCGGCAGACGAAAAATTGAAAGCAATTTTGCGAGAAGTTACAGTTAATAGTAAAACAAAACAGTTTATAGAAATTTGGGATAAACAGCATCTTATGAAGTCTTATGATTTATCAGTATATAATATTCATGAAGATATATATAATGAATGTAAGAAATTTCAAATTTGTATATACGTGTATTATAAAAAAATAATAAGCAATCACTCTTATACTATTTCTTTAGCTACATTTTGTTCATTCTGCTTTTCACTTGATAATAAACAATTATTATATATTGCTGAAAAAAAATTACCTAAGCAAGAATCTTATTACCAACCAAAACCGGAATCAAAAACTAAAACAGATAAATTTGAAAATGAAAAAGAATTATGTCAAGTAAGATATGATAATTATTTTATAATATGAATATGTAATAATTATAAATGAATAATAATATTTTATAATACTGTATAAATATAGAACCTATAACTTATTATTAAAAGAAATTATATTCAGTTTGATAATTTGATTCTATTGAATTATTTAAAAAAAAATTTCAAATACAATTTATTGTACTTAAATTATCGAGTAAGATCGAGTACAGAAATTATGATGAATATTTCATTGGTAAGCTTAAGTCATGGTATATTAAAATATAATTCATGACTACTGCTTTATACATTCTCGGACTAGAATGTTATTTATATTTTTAGTGAAAGAATTTTTGGAAAAATAATCTATCAATTTATTAATATTTAGTTTGAATATTATTAGATTATGAAATTAAATATTTTTACATTAACTTTAAAAAAATTTAATAAAGTGAAAAGTTAAACTTTTTTATGAATTCATAAATATATATTTATGTATATATATAGTAAGCATTCAAAAACTACATACTTTTTCCCAAAATTTAAATCTTTTATTTTTTATACTTAGGGTACAAAATACATTTATAGACCTGATTGGGGAGAACAATTAATTGCCAAGCACCGTTCTATTGTAGTTATCTTAAACATCAAAGAAGATACATTAGTTCCAATAACATCAATTCCAGATGAGTATTTTCCTGCTCAAGTAATATGGGCGCCGGATAATAATAGCATAGTTGGTGTAGCTTATAAACTTAAACCAAGATATCTCGGGCTCTATGCTTGCACCAACAGGGAATCATATATTTTTCATTTGAAAGGAAATGACTTTCGTATGAATATTTACAATTTTTAAGCGTTTGGTGAAGTATTAAAATACGCATACTCGCGCGCGCGCGCGCGTGCATACACACACACACACACACGCACGCGCGCGCGCACGGAGAAAGAAAGTGAGACTATGTACATTAAAGTTTAATACATAATCTAGCTAAATTTCTATGTAGGTAAATTAACTACTGATGGTTTGTCATGTACAACACCACGCTTCAGTCCTGATGGAAAATATCTCATATGGCTTGAACGAGATATTAGTCCTGCTCACCATCATGTACATAGACTTATGTATTTACAATGGAATATTGTTAAAAGTGTACGTATTATAATTTGATTATTATAGTTAAATTTTAATTATACAAACTGTCATTTATATTTATTTTATTGAATAATTCGAATAAAAAGAAAAACTGCTATAGTATATGTAGCTTAAATTTTAAATTATCGATGCTTCTTTAAAGTAATTGATACAATAATGTTGTTATCTATGTTTAATATGTAATAAACATTTTGACTTACTATAAATATTTTTATATTAAATATATTCTTATGTTAACTCTGACATTGAATCTTATATTAGATATTATTTTCTTTAATTTGCTTGTAGTCCTAAATATTAAATATTTCTTATACAAATTTTGTAATTTATTAAAAATTCAGCCAACTTAGTATGTATTAAAATAGACGTTTTTAATTATAGCTTATAATTAATAAATGAAAATATTTTTATCAAAATTATTATTTCAGTCTAATATATTAGTTAATTTGATAAAAAATTATATAGTTATTGACCATTATAAAAATTTTTACGGTCTTTATAATCCAAGTCTTCCCGATCGTTGTTGGAGTAATAATTCAAAACACATATTCCTTAGTACACCTCAAAGGTTCAATATAAAATCATATATTATCAATTTAGGTGGGTTTTTTAACTAAATTATTAATCATTTAGTTCATAACAATCACATTATAAGAACATTTTCATACTTTTTAGAAACAAAAAACATAACTGAAGTAGATAATTTTGACAATAGTAGTTTGAGCGTTATTGACGTTAAAAATAATTTTATAGCTTTCATAAACGTCTCGGTAATTAAGCCACCGCAATTAATAATTGCAAAATTCGATAATTCTTTATCAAATATTGGAAAACTATGTTTTATTGATGTTACTAAAATATTCAATATTCCGAATATTGAAAATTTTATAAATGAGCAGACCGAAGCCGTATATAACACAAATGAACCTGTCAGTAAGTATTTATATCAATTTATAAAAACAAACATTTTCTTATTTAATTTAATGTATTCATATTTTACAATACTCTCAAATTATATTTTGAGATTTAAATAATATTTAAGTAAAAGTATTCAATTTATCTATGTAATACATTATCTATGTACTGCGTGATACATTAAGAATTTATTATATTAATATTTTTATATGAATATTTGTTATTAATATTATATTTTAGACAGATTTTTATTAACTTAAAATTTTTATTGAGTATTCTGAAAAACCTACATAAAATATATAATACTGAAATTAATTTTAAAATAAATATTTAAAAATTTTATTAAAGATTTATATGGATTTGTAAAAATGAAACATGTTTATTAATAAATTTAATAATGAGAAAATAATATAGTTTTGTTCATTAATAGTATGATCGACATTTTAAAAGTATTTTACGTATTATAACTTTATTATAATACGCATTATAACTTTATTATAATACGCATTATAACTTTAAAAGTTTTTTACGTATATTAGATACTTAGTTTTATATTTTATATTTAGAGAACTTCAATTTTACTTATTTTGGCACGAAAAAAGCACAAAACCAATCAACACCTTTAGTTGTTGCACTACATGGTGGACCTCATTCTTCATATTGTAATACGTTCCATATAAATTATGCATTAATGGTTTGTTTAGGTATTTTTACGTACAATAACTTGGAAGAATGTATATAATTAAACGTATTATTATTTATATTAATTCTTTTGTCAAGGTTTTGGAGTTTTACAAATAAACTATCGCGGTTCTACTGGATTGGGTGGAGATAATATTGATTACCTTCTCGGTAAAATTGGCGATATGGATGTTGCCGATTGTGTAAAGGCTGTTAATTTAGCTGTGAACAAGTATCCCTGGATAGATCCAAAGAAAATCAATTTATATGGTGGATCTCATGGTGGGTTCTTATGTGCTCATCTCAGTGCCAAATATCCAGTAAGATAATTTTAAGTAACGAATCTCATAATTAAATTTAATTAAATATTATAAATACTCTATAATTATTTTTTTATTGAAAAACTAATATTGAAAATGGTAATTTAAAAATAAATTACAAATATGAATACTTTTTAAAGGAATGTGTATTTTCTCTTATATTTCCACACAATATAGTAATCATTTAAATCAATATAATTTATTATATATCATAAATTATTTATTCCGGGAAGTAAATGTTTCATATAAGATTATAATTAACTGGTAATTTTTAAATATGAACGTATTTACTATATATATATCTAGTATAATATTATATATTATACTAGACTATTTAATATACAAATTTAAAATTATACAAATTTTATAACAATCCGGAAATAAATTAGCATATAATGAATTTTTTCACTCATTCTATCGTATATTCCTATAACGTGCCATTATCATAAATAATTTGTAAAAAAACACGATACAATATATTAATAAGATGAAAGAAACGATAAATTAATTGACAGCGTATAACAATAAATAAAATACATAATTGTTTAATTGTGTGAATAAATAGGAATCTTTTTCTTATAGTATGATTTAATGCTAAAAAATAATAAATAAATGAATAGAGTTATATAAGCTGTGAATGCTTATAAATATATAGAAAAATAACAAACTAAATGAAAAAGTATAAATACACATACTATATCAATAACGAATTAACGCATCTTAGAAAGTAACAAAAACATAATTAGAAAAAATAACAAAGAATCTATAGATTGCTTGAACAAATTCTGCTGTAAGTTATTCGGCTCTTTTTTTTTAAATCTATGCAAAGATATATTCAAATGAAAAAATTGATCAGTGATCAATGCCTGTTCAAATGTTTCCTAATATAAGAATTAAAAGACTGATAATATCTTTAATATTGTATCGCATTTTTCAACATGATCATGAATATGTATCATCAATATAATCGGCAAGATAATGAATATGTATGAAATATCAATGGCTTCTTAATTCTTAGTTATGAATTTGCTCTCAAAGATTCAAGAAACTTCTCAAAATATATACGTAATTATATTTTATGTAATTCATAAGTATATTTTGTATTATAAATATAGCTTTATTTATTTATTATAGAATATATGATACATAAGGTATAATAATCAAAAATGTATTTATAATTCATTAAAAAATAGATCAATTTTTTTATTCCATGATTTGAAATTATATATTTACATAATTTATTTTTTTATTGTGTGTGTGTGTGTGTATGCGTCTGCGCGTAACTTAAGTAACTTTTCTAAATCAAATCATATTTTAAGAGAAGATAAATTTATTTTACAATTAAAAATATTTTATAATTAATTCAAAAAATTACCATTAAAAATGAATAGAAAAAATGGTTATTTTTTCAAACTTAATGATTTCTTTTTATTATTGTTATATTTATTTATTTATATTATATGCATTATTTGCCTTTGAAAAAAAGGATGAAGAAAGAAGTAAAAATGAAATGCATAAGATATTAGCAGAGAGTTAACAGAAGTTAAGTTAATATAGTTAAGTAGATATTGACTTATAAAAGAACACTTTGAAAAAGACTTCTTTAAGTGTGACAATATTGCAATCTATTCTGCATCCAAGTCATCTTTTGATAGTTAAAATGGCTATTTCTATTATTCAATTTTAATTCTTCCAATCATTTAAAAAAATTTTTAACTATAAAATATCAATTTATAAGAACAAAAATTTTTTTTTAATTAAATTTAATATAAAAAATATCTGTAAATAATATTGATAATGTTAATTAGTAGAATAATAAAATTAATTTTTATCAATAATTTAATTTATTTTTTACAAATGTTTCTATAAATTATTTTCAATTATTTAATATTCTTGCAATATTAAGATCGATTAGGAAAATACTAAGCGCTTGACTACTAGTTATCTTATTTGAATATAGAATATAAAAGAAATTATTTTATTTTAAATTTGTTTTACATCGCAATCCACAAACAAGTTCAATTTAATTATTTTTAATTAATAATTTGCAATTACGGATATTTGGTTATTCAATAATAAATAAATGAACAAATAATAATGAAATTAGTTTACAAATAACTGCAAATGCATTTATTTTTTCACTATTCTTTTATATAATTATCTATATGAATTAATGCCACATATCTAATTAAAGAAAATCAAACAAAAATAAGATATTTAAAATAAATTAGAAATTCGGAAAATTTATTTATATAGCTATACATCAAATAAAATGATTCCAATTTTCATTAAGATTTTTTAAATTATTCATTTAACATCAAAAATAGTATAATGATATATATATTCGATACATAATAAACGTGAACTTAAAAGTAATTTTGTTGATTTCAAAATTTTTAGAATTTTGTAACATAACATTTATTGAATTCAATTTCATGATACAAATTTACATATTATTTTTGAATTTAAAAAAGTTTCAAAACGAATAATATAATTGTATGTTTAATATAAAAATGTTGTAAATATATTTATTAATATTGTTAGTTTCTTTAAGTTTTATGTTATTATTTAGGATTTGTATCATAAACATTATGCAATTAGGGGCATCTATATATGATTCTTTTTACAAAAAATAGCAAATTAGCCTCATAAAATGCTTTATCGTTGTATTTTCTTACAGGATAAATTTAGAGCAGTAGTGATGTTAAATCCAGTAATTGACATAGCAGCCATGTATTCATCAACAGATATTCCAGATTGGTAAAAATAAAATTTTAAATATCGGAAATTATATCAAATTTAGCAAACGTATTATTTATATTCAAATAAAGAAATATAAAGTACTACAATCTAACAATTCATTATAATACAGTTCAATAAATATTTTAAGATATAATAATGTTTAGCATAACAATCGTTTAAAAATTTTATACTAAATACAAAACATAATGAATATTAATAAATAGTATCAAAAACTTTCAGTTTTGCATACTAGCTTATTATCAAAAATCATATGTATCAATACATATCAGCTTTTCAGAAAAAAAAATGTTTATTACTATTCATATTTAAAAATTTTATAAACAAAAAATCAAATTATATATTTGATTAACGTGATTTACATTGAATTTAATTGCTGATTATATTATATTTAAATATATAATACAGACTTTTTATACAAGCATTGTCTTAAGCAATAAATTACATTTTGTGAAAATAAGACATGCATATTATGAATTGCACTAGAATAATTTTTCTGTATTACTAATCATCAGAAAACATTAAATATCCGCAAATTTTTTAATTTGTAGTAATTTATTAAATTATCAGATTTGAATCTTAGTCTTAATTGTACCGATTCAATTACGTATGATAGATAACATAAACCTAATAATAAAATAATTAAATATTGCCTACTTAAACAATATTTGTAATATACTAGAAAATTTTTAAATATTTTTAATATATTAGAAAGCTTTTAAATAAATTGTATTATACTGAATACACATGTATTGTGAATAAATATGTGATTGCATATTATAATTTATAACTTAAATTTAAAAATACAGTTTATTGTAATAAATAAAAATGCATTATAATTGGCATGGATCTTTTATAATCCTGTACATCAATATTTCTCTTTATATTAGGTGTTGTGCTGAGAGTGGGTGTTCTTTTGTTAAGAATGTATCCAATGAACACGAAAATTATAATGAATTATTATTAAAAATGTTAAAACATTCCCCTATTCTTCATGTAGATAAAGTTAAAGCACCTACTTTAATCATCCTTGGATCAAAAGATTTACGAGTACCACCATTTCAAGGTAAATTGTGGTACAATAAATTGTTATCTAACAATGTTCATACTAAGTAAGTGTACTTTGTACTTTAATTAAAATTTTCAATATAGAAATAGAAAATTAAAAAAATTAATTTAATAAATAATAAATATTTCAAGCAGAAATGAAAATTTTTAATTACTAAGACATCAGTTTTGAATGATGGAAGTATAAAAATTGAATTTTTATTTTTTTTCAGGTTATTCATTTACGATGATAATCATTCATTAAAAAAAGATGAAGTTGAAATAGATAATATTATTAATTCTGTACTTTGGTTAATAGAACACAATGATAAATAACTAAAATAACATGTAATATTCAATAAAATCTAAATAATCTACTATTTTATTATTGTATCCAAATTTTATTCCTGTGTTATTATCATGTATGGTTGTAAAAGAATACAATTCAAATTAAAGTCTTTAAAAATGTATTTATTAAAGATATTAAATCTAATATTCAATAAAATATTTAAAAAATAAATGATTATATAAATTTTTTATAAACTGAATATACAAACATTTATAATATATATCTACATACAATACTATACATTGTCAATTAATACTAACAGATACACTTATTAACAAAATATTGCTTGAGTATATTTTAATATTTATAATTATGTATAAAAATAGAGTGTCTTGAAATACATAAAAATGTATTACATTATTAAATAATATTGTAAATTTTGTTTCATAATTCTTAAAACAATGTATTCATGCAAAAACTTATATATAATTTTCTTTTTTAAAGTTACCAATGTTATTATTATTATTATATATAATAAATTTTAAATAGTATTGAGGAAAACTCTTAATATTCTGATTAGAAACTTAATTAACGCTGAATAGTCAAGAATAAAATATTTTCGCTATAAATAATTAGCAATTTTTAAGAAATAATGTTTTCTATACATGATATAACTAATATTATTGATATAATTAATGTAATTGCCAGATTTTAATGTATTGTTACATTGTATTTTTTATTTGTATTATATTATGAGAAAGTAATTTTTTATCATTTTAAATATTTATTAACATTATGAATTATCAAATAATAATTAATAATTTAATAAAGTAATATAATAAGTAGTTTAGTTATAAATACAGTTGTTAGTAAAATACAATTATATGCAAATCATAGGTTATAAATTAAATTTAATAAAATATATACAATCATAGATTGAATACTTTTTTCCCTAGTTAAAAATATTTCTTACATCAAAATTTAGACAAATTTTTTTCGTTTATATAATCAAAATTTTAATTGTAGAGTAGAATACTAAATGTAACAGCAAGTTACCATAACTTTAAAAATCTATCTTGGTAGAATTGTGTTCACAGTTACCCACTTCATACATTATAACTTTATTTAAAATACTATTAGATAAATATATTCTTGTAACTGACAAAGATTATAATTAACAGAATTATAAACATTGATATTAACACAGATCATTTATGGGTAACTTTTAGTATCAAAATTAATCATTGGAACCTGCAAATATTCGATGTGATTATTAAGGCAAATAAAAAAAAAACAAAAAATAAATCATTGTAACTTATAGCTTATTATTATTATAGAACAGCAGTACAGTTAAAATTATAATACTATCTAGTGTCTACAATTTATCACATTTGACAAAATTGAAGCACTGCATGCATGAAATATGACTTGCTGTAAAATAAATAATCCAATAATAATTTATAGATTGCAAATAAAATTTTTTAGACTGCTGTAGATAGAAATATCCACAAAATTAAGCTTTCTTGATGTTCATGGTAATGCAGTACATATATTTGTCTTACAAAAGCCAAGTGTCTTCACTGAAATATAATAACTATACCATTAATATCCTGGTAAATTTGTTACAAGATAGTTTCAATTATATTTTTTACCTACGTATTGTAAAGAACATTACTTATTTTAAACATAAAAACTATGTACTTATCTATGTGATGTTATATATTAAGTGCATATGTACAAATGTACTTAAATAAATTAGTTAGATTTTGAGAAATCTACCTGTATATCCCAACTAACAATATCAAATTATCTTTGTAACGTTCTATATATTAAAAATAATATTACAAAATATCAGCATATTTTTCCTGATAACTGCAATTTTGACATAAAGTGTATATTTAAGTCTATTAAAAATTCTAACCAATTGCTTTATACAAAAATATCTGAATATTATCTGATCTGACATATGCTGTAACACATTTTTTTAACTCAAAATACTTTTCACTAGGCTAGCATTTTATGGAATGATAGATAAAATATATTTTATGGAAGTACATGATTCAACATTAATGGCATTTTTCTAATTAGCAATACATAAAAATTTATAAAAATAGCTAAATAATATTATCTCCATTTCACTAACTACTTTTAAGATAATAAAAAATTTTAATATGCAAACATTTTCAAATATAGTTCCAAAGTAATGAAAATGTACGATAAAACAATAAGTTTTTATCTTTTCACATATACTCTAATTTCTTAATTTTTAATATATATAAAATTGCGATTACCAGTTATCTATTTAATACATTGCAACTTTTTTAAAACTATCTTTTAAACCATTTATCTAATTAAAACATTAGATAAATTATTTTCAAAAATTATATGATATAAAGTTTATGAATTGAGAGCATTAGTTTGAGATTGAGAAGGAAATAATGAATTATAACTTGGTGGTAAATCTTTATCTTGAACAGGTAATGAAACAGCTACTTCTAACGTAGAAGTTGTAGGTATATATGGTGCATTAGGTAAATTGGAAATACTGTGTTCACCATGTTCCATTGGTAATCCAGATATACTTATTATACTAGATGGTCCTGCACAATCAGGTGACCAACAGAATTTTTTGTGCCTTCTACAAATCCATAAGCACATGATAAATATAATAAAGCACAGAAATATAGTAGTCACAGCACTGACAGTCACTTTAGTTCCAGTTCCATCACTCACTATCTGATTTTCAATATTGGTACAATTACTTTCATCAAAGCATATTGAACTAGCACAATTTATAAAACCATCACAAATAAAATTGTCATTAATACATACAGATGTTGAACTTGACCAAAAATGTGTTTTAGGTTCTAAATTCTTACAGTCTAAAAAATACATAAAATCCTTTATATGATTAATCATTATAGAGTAATATTACATACCTTTATTTTGTTTATAAGGAGTATATATAATTATTAAGTCAAGTGACTGTCCTGAAATTAATGGCTGCCTTGAAATATATATTTCAGTTGTTATTTTTCCTTGTTCACTATTTTCCTCAAACTTTTTTTCTGCATATTCTATTCTTTTCTGATAATCTATATTCATATTTGTTATATAACGTTTATAACCATTATCATTTTCTAATTCGCCACAATACTTATCTGATTCATTACCATTTTCTTTTATAAACTAAAATAATAATTATTCTAAATTAAAATGATAAATATTAATATTAATAAAACAAATATATTTAATTTCTTAAACATTATTTATTTTAAGTTAAAAACATAATTTATTTTTTACACTTTCTTTAAAGTGTTTTCTAAAAATTAAAACTTTGATAATATGAACATTTCTGATATTTATTAACAAATTACGTAATAAATCAATTATTTTTATATAAATATTTAATTTAATTATTATATTATAAATAGAAATAATATAATTTTAAAAATATTTTACATCTAATTTATCTATAATTTAATTTCAAAGTGAATAAAATAGATAACAGAAAATAAATAAAAGAAAAAAAGAAAATAATTACTCTGACATAATCCAAACATTCCGATCCATTGCCTCGAAGTGACATTCTTTGAATAACAGCAAATAGGCTTTCCCCTTTAGTTGCTTTAATTTTGAATTTACAATGTTTGTTGTACATAACTTGCCAACTATCAAAAATATGTGAAGGTTTTACCATAATAGCAGAATTCTTGTTTTTCTTTAGAATTTCCACAGTTTCGACTTTTTCATTTAATGGATTACAAATTGCAGCGTTGTCCAAACCAACTATCAAAAACACAAATAAAAATGAATTTTAAGAAATATTAGAAAGTATAGAAAATATTTTTAGAAACTACAATATAATCTTAAGATAATAAAATTATTTTTCTTACTTTCGATGTAGAATTTTGAAGAGTCTAATTCTGCAACAGTATCCACAAGAAAAAGAAAGACGAAATAAATGAATTTTGCTGTTGAGAAGTCAACCATCTTGAATCAACTGTCACAATTATCAAAAGTTAGCAAATTATGCTTAGAAGTTGTATATGAATATAAAATAAACCTACTAATTAATAAAAAGAGTTAAAAAAGAAATATTACAAAAAACTATTATTTATTATTAAACATTATTAACTGGAATATATTTAAAGAATAATATTTTCGTTTAAAAGTGCGGGAAGTTTACATTTTGTATCTTTGTATATCAATTTGTCGAAAGAATTCTTGTCTTACGAGATGCTATTATTTATTCAAAATGATATTTTTTTATGTATTAATGAATTCTTTCTGATTGTTTAACATTTTAACTATATCAAAAAAAATTTTTGAAAACGATAAAATATATACTTCACTTGTACATTTTCGTTTAAGCAACCAAAACAATGTTTTAACTGCTACCTCCAGGTAAAACTAATAAATTATATTTCTTTTTCTTACTAATATTAAAGCATTATTATACGATTGTTGAAAATATAATTATCTATAGGAATCTCATGAAATATGTAAACATGTACTGTTTGAATTATAATTAATAATTAAAAGTGTGAATTTCTGCACTCAAAATGGAATACAGGTAAATTGTTTGCAAAATAATAAAATAATTATAGAAAAGCTTAAAACTTTAATTTTTTAATTACATAGAATTTTAATATAACTATATTTTCTATTTTTTCAAGATAGTAACCAGAAATACCTTTTATTCGTTTAATATTATTTAATATTATATTTTAATTCAGTAGTTATTTGTTATATAAAAAGTTATAATGTAAATAATTAAATGTTATTAAATTATTTCTAGTAATGAAAGCTATTCAAATATTAAATGCTTTAAACTTAATTTTGGTGAAGTAGAAGTAGGAGTTACAAAAATTGAGTCAATTAAAATTGTTAATCAAAGTAATGTAAGTAATTATGTATATTTTTATAGATAACGACAATGTTATATAACTTTTTAAAATAAAATATTCTTAATTTAATATTTTTGATTTATGAAAAATTATATAAAATAATTTATGAATTAAATATAACTCATTTTAATATAGTACCTATTTCTAATTATAACAGAAACTGTAAAATATAAAATTATTATTAAATGTTTTATTTATTAGGAAAAACAAACATATGTTATGCAAAGGGATTCAATAAGTAATCCATTAGATTGTGTATTTCACATTGTAGAATGTACTTGGACATTATCAGCTAATGAATCTTTCATCTGTGATGTCAGTTATAGACCTATTTTACCGAATCGAAAATATATTGATTATTTTTTTATAACAGATACTTACCAGTGTTGTTGTAAAGTCATAGCTGAAGGATATTGTATAGGTATAATGTCAATATTTTTCAACTATTCAATCAAATTAAGTAAAAGCATTGTTTTGTGTCCTTTATAAAATTTTTTAAAGATGTTGAATATATATGTACCAATTTAATATTTGTTAAAATATTAATATTGAAAATTAATTTTAGGCCCAAAAGTAACTAGTTCTAAAAGCAGATTAATAATGGTTCATGGAAATGAATTTTGCAAAACTACACAAAAAATTAAATTAATAAATCACTCAAATATTTCTGCAAAATTTATGTTTGATACTGATCTTGTACAATGTCCTTTTAAAATTAATGAAATTAGTGGAACTATAAAAGCATTATCTAGTAAGTGTTTTACTATTTCATTTGAACCTACGGATGTTGGAATTTATAAATATCATTTGCCTTGTCTCATTTTAGATCAAGTAAGTTGTAGATTACATAGAATATTTTTTAATGAAAATTTAATAATCTAAAAAATATTTTGGTTCTATTACTTAAAAAAAATATGAAATATAAATACTGCATATTTCAATATAATTTTTCAATCATTAAACTTTAATTATATTATTTTTTAATATATATTTGAAAAAATATTTTAATTTACTGAATAAAATAGTGATAATGAATAATGAATAAAATAGTGATACTGAATAATAATAGCTTTTAGTGAAACCATAAATTTACTACGATAATCAATTTTTTTAATTTTAAACTAGAAATTTTATACTACCGATTTAGTTTTAGAACTACTAGTATCTGATAATAGAATTATTTCTTTCAGAATCCAATTATATTAGAATTATATGGTTTATGTTATTATGATTCAGATAAATCTTATGTTGAGTCTTTTTATTCAAAAATTAAGAATATTAATGAACTCGATATCACAAATAATTTTCAAAATTATATGAGCGATTTTACATCTGTAATTAAAAATAATGCACCTGCGATTTCATTATCTTTAAGTTATATAGATTTTGGACAAGCAAAAATTGGTAATATACATTTTGGAAAAAGAAGTTCTCAAACTGTTTGTTTAAGTAATCAAAATAAATATGATGTCATAGTCTTATGGGAAAAAGGTATTTTTCAATTTTGATTCACAAATGAACTTAATAAATATCAGTGCAAACTAAACATTTTATCGTAATCTGTAGAATTTGCATTTTATATTAATAATAATAAAATTTGTACCCTTTTACAATTTATGTACTTATTTAGTTCATTTATTATTGAAATTCTTTAAATGAACAGATACATCAAAGACATTCAGCATTCATCCTCAAAAAACAAAATTATGTAGTAATCAATCAATCATTTTTGAAGTCCGATTTGATCCAGTAAATATGCAATGTGCTTATTCAAAAGATTTAATAGCACGTATATTTCGAGTTCCTTATTATATAACAAATCCTCAAATATCTAACGACTTACTAATGAGTGTAATTCCTGAATTCCTTTCCATTCGTCTTATTGGTAACATTAAAATTTTCCTTGTATTAAAAATTTTTTGTGCAATATATACTTATTATTAATTTGATGATATTTAAGGTCATACTTACAGTAATAATTCTTATATTTCCATATACCAATACGAAATGCCAAAAACAGTAACAATGCCTGCTTGTATTCCTTCTTCACCTGTATATACAACATTTATAATCAGAAATTTTGGACACCAATCACTTCTGTTTTGTTTTATTTCTCCTACTATTAGTCATTACACCATTAAACCAATGGCTGGAGTTATTAATCAGTAAGCTATAAATTACATACATCTAATTAGTAAAATAATATAGTAAATTTCGTTTTTATTATACCACTTTTACAAAATTATTTTAATTTTTTTCTGAATTACGTATATATTAAAAGAATGTAACAAATATATATTTATAATAATTGAGACTTGTATTAGTGTTATTACTATAAGAAAATCTTGAAATAACTTTATTTACTACGATAAATAATACTCAATTTAAATTACAATTAATTTTTACTATTTGTATTTGCACAATGTTTCTAAAACTGATAATACGTTTGCCTTAATTAAGTTTTATAAACAGATGATTGATTTGTCTATTTCATAAACTAACAAAATAAATCAATTTTATTAAGATTGTCATTATTATATTAACGATTAAATCTTTTTGAGATATATTTAATTATGTCTTTATTTTAACGGCCAATGTGAGATTGAAAAATTCGTTAATAGATAATCTTATAAGCGTAGTTCAGATTAATGATAAATCTGATAAAAGAAAATTAGCATATATTTGTAAACAATATATTTTTAAATAAAAATATATGCAAAATATAGTCAAGTATAACAAATACACATTGTAGCCAAAAAGAATATCAATTAATTGCCGTCCAGCTATTTCCTGAAGTTGAGAGCGATAAAGCGTATGTCGAACGTTGGGCGTTGCGATTAAACGGAAACATTAAAAACGAAATATATATTGATTTTCATGGTTATGCCGAAGAAGCAAATCTCTCTCTCGGCGGTGATTATTCGATAATTTTTAATCCAGTACATATAAACTGTGAAAAAAGGCAACCGGTATGCATACGCAACCCAACGCGACATCGTATAAGGTAAGATTATATATTAGCACAGTATAAATTGATAAATTTTTTTTAATAATAAATCGATGTAAATATTAAATTTGAATTACATAAACATTATGAAATAAATCTCATTGATATTCTATAAATACCATAAATAATTATAAAAAGTTTATATTTTTTTAAATTACTGTTTTATTTTTTCAGAGATCTAATTGAAGAAATAAATATATAAACGTATATAATGTAAAAGTAAAAAAATTCGAATTAAATTAAAAAATGATATTAAAAATTGTTTATATTCGATTTGAAATAAAATTATAAAAAATTATATACAAAACATTTAAACCCTATTACATAAGTTAATTGGTGAAATTAGAATTTTTTATTTATTATAAATAACACTTATAATTTGATGATTCAGCATTAGAAATAATTTGTTTACATGAATTATCTTGTTAAACAATTACATCGTCACATTTCTTACTACTAATTAATTCTCTCTTGCAACTTGCAGTGTAATTGCATTACACCTAATAAACTTACTACTGCTTCCATAATTATTAAAAGACTAGTCCTTTATTCCACGTAATCAAATTGAAAATTAAAATAATATTATTTAAAACTCATTTCAAATTATTTAAATAAAATATTTTCCAAGCTTATAACTTTTTAAATCTTTTTTCTGTTAATATTAGCAAAAAATATTTACAGAAAAACAACTTTTAAAAAATTAGTGTAGGTAACTTTTTTCGTAATATATTTAATAAATATGAAGTTTTAAAATAAACTATATATATACCTGTTAATGCAAAAACTATCATATTAACTAAATTGTATAAGATTGGAAACATTTATATTTTTAATAATGACTATTAACATATTCATTATATTATATTTCATATAAATTTTCTGATACATATATCATAAGGCATAAATATAGCTATAGATTTTAAAATAAAATTTATAATCATTGTTCGAATATTATTAAATTTTAAATAAATTTTAAGATACTTAAATTAATGAAAATATTTAAAATTTTTAATTTTAGTTTTATTCATGATAAAAAATGTATAAGTACTATTTACAAAATATTTTTAAATAAGGTATATTAAGTAAATCTAATGATAAGAATTTATTTCATAAAATTATTATAATATACTACTATATTTTACGTTGAAGTACTATTTTTGTTTTTAATACTTTAACAAAAATTATGATGCATTAACTATTTTGTATGTGAGTCATGTATTGAATAAATATTTAAAATTAACTATATAGAATATTTACAATACTTTTTAACGTTTTTAGATTCGAATATTTAATATGCGACTTTCCAAAGGAATTACAAATCGAACAAACGAATGGAGTTTTAAATCCAAATGAAACAACTTTTCATAATTTCATTTTTAGGCCTGACAAATTAAAAAATTACAACTTTGATATCCGTTGTCGATTGAACACTGAAATTAGTAATAAACATTCCATTATTAAAATTGATATTTCTGGACAAAGTACTGAAGGTTTTCTCATAGTAAATGAATTTATTAAATAAACTTATATTTAATTCATTTTTATAGAGGAAAATAATATAATAATATCAATATAAACAATATGTGCATTCGATATATACGATAAAAGAAACAAGTAGTATAACAATGTTTTTGTAGAAGAAAATTTTTTAATTGTTTATAAATGCTAAAAATTGATTAATTTTAGTTTTATAAAAAAAACTGTCTTAATTTATTAATTGACAAATTATATATTAATTATAAACATTGTAGTAACTGAGGAAAATGATAATAAGGAATAGAAAATAATAATTGATAGAGCATTAAACATACTTCGAATCAATACATTTGTACACAAAATTATGTATTATAACATTAAATAATATCCTTTTAATATTCATTTTTAAAATTGTAGTTAAAAATATGTTTATCAATATGTACTAATAATTATGGCAAGTTACATAATCCCTTAATAAATTTAAAGGAATATAATCAATTAATATTTATTATCTCTAAAATGTTATAAAAAACTACATTATTTTATCTATTTAAAAAGGCAATTCCAGAATATCTGAATGTGGGCGAAGTAGGATATGAAGAGTCTTGTGAAATGAAATTTAAAATTTTTAACTTCAGTTCCGTGACAATACATTTTTTATTGATATGTGACTTCACAAGCAGCATACATATATTTAAAAATTCAATAATCGATATCAATGTTTTGCCATCATGTGGTACAATCAGTCCAGGAAAAGGAAAAGAAATTAAAGTTTTTTTAATTCCTAGACAACCAGGATTTCATGATTTAACTATAAAGTATTTCACTAAAACAAATTATTTAATAGATAATTCCAAATCTCTAACGGAATCCAAAGTTCTTTGTAAACTTACCTATACATGTTACTTACCTACGTTACAGGTATATTTAATTATTAATTTTTAATTTAAAGGCTGATTGAATAATTATATTATATCAATATAAGTTATTTTACAATTTATTTTAGATCAAAGATTTGTTGTATCAAGCTGAAACAAATAAAGAAATTAGTAAAATTTTCCTTTGGAAATCTTTATCTATCGATCAGTAAGCAAATATTTATTTAATTTATTATATTTCCATGATAAATAATAATAATAATATAATAATAATTTTTATTATATCTAATTTAATCTAATAAATTCTATTTTATATTCTTCTTTATATGTATACTTCTATATTCCAGTAATTTTTAATTCGATTGTTTAATACAAATAAAAAATGTGATATTTTAAAGAAAAATGAAAAATATATAATCAAATATGTCTTGATTATCAAACACATGAATTTAAAAATTTAAGTTTAATTAAAATTTATGCGGATACAAATTTAATTACTATACAATACTAAAATATTATTATTATTAGTTTCAATAAAGCATTAAAAAATTTATTACCACTACAAGAAATTACAATAGACATGGTTATACCCTTGGTTACGCTAAATGAACATGAAAAGTTCATTGTTAAACTTTTAGTGGTGAATTTAAATCCACTTAAAGCTTCTTGGTATTTTAAGCAAAAAAAAACATGTTTGTGTAAAGAACAAACTAAAAAAAAAAAATATTTGAAAAACCAAAACTCAGATAAAAATTGTGTTTATTGTATCCATGATCAGTCATTTATAATTTATCCTACAAATTTAACATTAATGGTATGATTTTTATAAACAAATTTATAATTATATAATTTTCCATATATTTATTATAAATAATCTTATTAGAAAAATGAGACTGGTATTCTTACGATTATAATTAACAATATCTTGCCATCCTATGGCATATTGTGGGATTTAAATATTGGAGAAGAAAGACATATTATTTTGAATATAAAGCTTGAGACATCCATAATTTTGTCTGGTCCACGTTTAAAATTTAATAATATATTTATTGGAAAAAGTACTTATATGCATTATCAGGTTGCTATGCGCGTTTTTTTTTAAATTAACAATCCTATATTAATCACATTTTTATCAGAAATTTTTATATTTGTATAAAGTAATCGATTCAAAACATTTTCAGGCAGTGTGGCTATATAATAATAGTGAATATGAAAACATTTATATGATTGAAATGAAAAATATACTTTTATTTAATAAAAACAATTATGGAAAAATATTTACATGCTTAAATCCACAAGGTATTATTCTTGGATATGCCCGTAAACCTGTACTCTTTGGATTTCGCCCTAATAAATTTGGGAAATATAATGTTAGTTATTTATTAATAATAGTTATGTATGAAAATGAAGTACTAATATTCTATACGCCTTTATGCCATTTTAATTTTCTGGAAATAAAATCAATACCTTTTATTTTTTATGATGTGTAACTGAAAAATATTATCTAATAATTTTATATATTAGTATATATATGACATGAACTGATTTAAATATTTTGACCTGAATATTATTGTATTCCTATCTGTATGTTTCATTTTTTTCTTATTTCTTTACACCTTAATTCAGCATCAGTAATTGGGTTTATCATTGTTACTAAAAAATGTTCACTAACTTAGTTCAAAACCAAATTTTAACTTAAAAATACCTACTTTTTATACCTCTAGTATTATTTTTTAAACACAAATGTACATATTTTTTTATAAATACCGTGCGATACTTTACTTACTCTAATGTACAATTAAAGTAACGAATTTCTAAAAGAAGATTTTGTAATACGAATTGTTTTCATTTTTTAATATCAAGTTCACCGAGTTGATATGAACTAATTGAATCTATTATTTCTAATCAAAAAGATAAAAATAAGTTTTTGTAAACTTAGAAGATAAAATCTAATAACATTTCTGAAATCTCTATAATAAATAATAATACATCATATTGTCTTATATAAAAACTGAACTTTGAAACTGAAAATTATTTTTACGGTTACAAATGTATGGACCTTATAACAACAAATCTTAAATGGGCAGATATTTCATACCGTGCTAATTTAACGTTCGCCTTAATCGTATATATATTTATTTATTTACATTATCAAATAGTGTACTTTAAAATATATATTATTTATATGATTATTTATTTAAAATATTCTGTATTTGTTACATTTTTTAATATTCTGTTTATACAGGAAAATTTATGCATCAATAGATAATTAAACGAGTACGTAACAAAAATGAAAATGTCGGTAAATTAGTTATAAATATTTATAATTTATAATTTCAATGAATAAATTAAGTATATGCTGATAATAAAAAAACAACATTCATATGGTTTCACAATTAACATACGTTATAAATATATTGTGCAATAGATTACTATATTTTATTTCATATTACATAGTTATTAAACTATATTAATATAATATTAAAAGAATACATTATATTATAATTACAATTATAATATGATAATATCATTAATATTTTACATCAATTTATTATACACCCATAACTATACGTGTTGTATTATTAGTTTATTATGCGTTAAATTGCCAATTAAACAATAAAGTATTTATATTATTAATTAAAAATTTTATATACTACAAAATTGTTGTTAAAATAACAATAAATATTTAATTTTATTTTTAACAGATAACTGTTCTCGTAAAGGTAGGCGAATGTGAATCAATGCTTAATATAGAAGCTGAATCTACATGTGTCCCAAAACAAATATTTGATAATAACCAAACATGTCCACTTTCCGATATATTTAGTGCTCCAGAAATTATTATCTATTTTAGTAAACATTGTGCTATATTACCTCCATTATCGACTCATGGAAAAATAATTAAAATTTTTATGATTCAAAATCATCATCAACAAAACACATTTTATTTTCAATGGAAAAAGTACATTTATCTATTGTATAATATTTTTAATATAATATATATATATATATAAATTAATTTATTTATATTTATATTTTTTTATTATACATAATTATTACAAAGAAATATGAATAATTGTTATTATATTATTTTATATTATCACAATTAGCTGTTAGGTTTTATGTATTCTTCAAAAATATTTATATTACATTCAATACATATTATATTATTATTGTATTATATTTAATTTTAATTCAATCTTTAACTATTTTATAATTTATAAATGATTATTTCGTATTTATAAGTTAAATATATAGATTAACTTTTTGGATCGTGAAAATACTAATTTTTTTAGTTATGAACTGCCAGGATTCGTAAAAATTAATATAGAACCTGAAAGTGGTTTGATACAACCACAGAGTTTAATAACATTTTTCATTAAATTAATTATTGGATTTTATGAATATTCATTGGATATTGATTTATTCTGTGATTTTTTGGATGTTAGCGAACGTCGTTGTATTGAAAAAAAAAAAATTAAAAAGAATATTATAAAACAAGTGGAAAGTGAATTTTCTATGACTAAACCAGGTCTAATCAATCCGGTGCAGTATTTATATGCTTATAAAAAATTATAACATTACTATTGTTTATTACTGTTGAAAAACATTATATAATTAATAATAAAAATTTTATAATTTTTTAAAAATAGAACGTAGCATCTTTAAAAACAATAAAAAAGCCAACGAGATTCTGTAAAACATTAACATTGAAAATGGAAACTTATTATTCGGAAATTATGGATCAAATAATTGATTTAACGCAACAACTGCAACATATACCAACTGAAGAAATAATGCAAAAATTGAATTCTTATGAAAATAATTTTACTTTAGATATTATTACTATGTCTCAAATTTTTGAATGTATAATTTGGTTAGTTTTCTTTTTATATATTTAATTAAAATAAAATAACGAATATTTCATGAATACTTTTAATTTGATAATATATATAAACTTTGTACATATTTAGAATTTTATTAATTTTTTACTTTATATGTTTCCATTTACACGTTAGTCACAGTAACATATTTAGAACTATTAGATATATTAATTTTATGGACAAGATATCATAATAAATAATCAGATAAAAATGATATCCTTTAATTAAAATAATGTCTTATTTTTGTTAATTAATTTTTATTTTCTATGTAACAATAAAAATGAGATCAATATATTATCAGATTTTGATAAGTATTCCAAGACATTTTAAATGTATCTTTCTGTATTTAACAAATTCAAAAATTAATTATATACTTAATTAGTTTTTTATAGTTTACAAGACCGTACAAAATTATAGTATATTTTTATTTTTAATGTTTATTTACATACATGTTATACATGCATATGTGCATTAAAAACTAATCAGAAATGTTATATATTTAATAGGGACATTATTAACAGTCAATCTTTTCAACATATTATAAAAGAAAATTTGAATGTGGTGCATAAGCTAAAATATTCTCAGTTCTCGGTAAATATTATAGAAAGAAAACATCAATTAGAAAGAAATAATATAACACTATCAAAATTATATCTTGAAGACATATTGCATACAGTAACTAATATTTTCTATTTAATTACATTATATAGACACATATTTTTATTTTAATATGTTATTTAATACATTAATATTTAATCTTTATAATTTGAATTTAATAGATAATATGTATGATTGTTCACGAAGAATTTAATCTTGGAATTGCTCATTTCTCACATCCTCCTGATGTTAGACAGATATATGAAAAAATAAATACAGAATCTCATGATTACTTAACTGGTTATAAATAAAATTAGAAATAACTTTTTATATCATAATGTATTTATATAATTTAAGACAAATTAATTTTTGTATGTAATAAAAAGAATTTTTAATTTATATTTAATTATGAATAATATAACTAAACTTTATTAAACAAACAGTGAATGCGCAGAATCGCGTGATTAAGTTGAACCTCGTGTTGCTGATATTAATTTCTAAGATAAATTTGAAAGGCCGTTAATTCTAATAAGTAAATTGGTTCTAATTTATTTATTTACAAATTTATAATATTGATTCGGTTATTATTATATGTATTAATTCAATTTTTATAATGGTAAGTAAACAATTGTGTTCATAATTAAGTTTCTAACCTTAATGCACTTTATTTTCAATTATTTATAATTTTCTAAGAATTATTAATATGTATATTTAAAAAATTTTAACTAAATAGTTAATATAATTAAGCATAATGGGATTCTTACTTGATATTTTAGAATTTATCTGTTGAACGAAAAGGCACATTCAAAGTTGAATATCTACAAAAAATTGAAAATGAAATCCGAAAGATGTGGGAGGATAATAATATGTTTGAAATAGATGCTCCACAAATTCCAAAAAAATGTAACGATGAAAAATTTTTAGCTACCTTTCCGTTTCCTTACATGAATGGTAGGCTTCATTTAGGACATGCATATTCTATATCAAAATGTGAGGTATGGTATTTATTATCTATCAATTATAATTTTAATTAAATTTAAATGATTTATAAGATTATATTAGTTTGCTGCAAGATACAATCGTTTATTAGGGAAAAATATACTGTTTCCATTTGGATTCCATTGTACAGGTATGCCAATTAAAGCTTGTGCTGATAAACTTAAATATGAAATGGAAACTTATGGCTATCCACCAAAATATCCTGTTTTCAAAAATAAATTTGAAGATGAAACTAATGATTTTATTATAAATAAAAGTAAAGGCAAAAAGGTAATTCAATACTTTATATATTTATTATTATTTCAGTTTTATTGTTATTAATTATTAATTTTTTAATATATTTGATTTTATATTAACTATTTGTATTAAATAAGAAATATTAAAATTATTGACTATTAAAAAATTATTTTTGAAAATGATTTTTCTGTATTGTACATATACTCATTTAAAACTCACTTAAAGTTAAAAATAATAACTTAACATTGGTATAATATAATTATTTTAATATATTTAATTGTATTAGCTATTGAGATTAATTTATTCGATTTCTAGAGTAAAGCAATAGCAAAAACTGGTATAGGTAAATATCAATGGCAAATAATGCAAAGTCTTGGATTAAAAGATTCTGAAATTAAACTATTTACTGATTCTGCATATTGGCTGCATTACTTTCCACCTATTGCTGTGGAAGATTTGAAAAAGTTTGGTTTATGTGTATGTTATCTAATTATAATTGTACTAATTTATATTTTGTTTAAAAATTTATTAATTTTTTATTTAAAAATATACAACAGGTAGATTGGCGACGTTCTTTTATAACAACTGATGCTAATCCATTTTTTGATTCTTTTGTTCAATGGCAATTTTATCATCTAAGGAAAAAGAACAAAATCAAGTATGGTAAGCGCTATACAATTTTTTCACCCAAGGATAACCAACCATGTATGGATCATGATAGATATTCTGGTGAAGGAATTGGTCCTCAAGAATATACTTTAATAAAAATGGAAATTTTAAAACCGTATCCCAAAAAACTTCAGTAAGTATTTTTATTTATAGTAAAGTAGACTTTTACTCTAAAAATTATTAATTTAATATGATTTTTTTAATATATTTAATATAAAGAATAGTTTACTTAATATATGTTTTATAAGAAATTTTTTCTGAAAAGAAATTTTATTAAAATATATCATATTTTAAATTCATATTTTAATATTTTAGGTTTCTTCCTATTAAGCTGCCTGTCTTTTTGGTAGCTGCTACTCTTAGACCAGAAACAGTGTATGGTCAAACAAATTGTTGGATACATCCAGATATAAATTATATTGCTTTTTCAACTGCAAATGAAGAAATTTTTATATGTACTAAAAGAGCTGCACAAAATATGTCTTGGCAAGGTTTTACAAAATGTGAAGGTAGCATTAATATTCTCATTAATTTGATTGGTTCTGTAAGTAATAATTTTAATAATAATATTTGTTGAATAATTGTTAAATATTAAAAATGACAAACTTTAGGATATTTTAGGTCTTTGTTTAAAGACTCCAAAAACATCTTATAATGTAATATATAGTTTACCAATGTTTACAATTAAAGAAGATAAGGGCACTGGAGTAGTAGCATCAGTACCTAGTGATTCTCCTGATGATTATGCAGCATTAATGGATTTGAAAAAGAATATATCTTTAAGAAATAAATATAATATTAAGGATAATATGATTTTACCATATAATCCTGTAAAAAAGTTATTAAAAGTTTTTATAAAATTAATTAAAATACTGTTTACTTATAACTATCTGTTTTAGATTCCAATCATTGAAATTGAAACATTTGGAAACTTATCAGCAGTCACAGTATATGAACAGCTAAATATACAGTCTCAGAATGATATTATAAAATTAAAACAAGCTAAAGAGATGATTTATTTAAAAGGTTTTTACGATGGTTTGTTATTAGTTGGAAAATATAAAAACAGAAAAGTACAAGATGTTAAACAAATTATAAAAGATGAATTAATAAACAATAATGAGGCAGCAATTTATTATGAGCCGGAAAAAACTGTTATATCACGATCGGGAGGTGAATGTGTGGTTGCTCTTTGCAATCAATGGTATTTAAATTATGGAGATCCAGAATGGAAGCATCTAACCAAAAATGCTTTAGAAAACTTAGAAACTTTCCACAATGAAGTGAGAAAGAATTTTCAAGCTTGTCTTGATTGGCTTCATGAGCATGCGTGTTCAAGAACATATGGTCTTGGTAAATTATTATACTATTGTAATGTTGAAATATTTAGTAAAATAATACTTTATTTTCTACAAATAGCATTAAATTATATACTTAATAAATGTTTTATATTTTATTAAATTATATATTTAATTAATGTTTTATATTTAGGGACAAAATTACCTTGGGATAAACAATGGTTAATTGAGTCTTTGTCGGATTCAACAATCTATATGGCATATTACACAGTAGCTCATTTAATTCAAGGAAATAGCTTTAAAGGAGACAAACCAAATATACTAAATATCAAGTAATTCATTTTATATTAATAATTTTTATGTTTCATTTGTTATAATTTTAATTATTTATTAGAGCTAACGACTTGACTCCTGAAGTATGGGATTATATATTTTTTAAAGAAACAAAATTACCCTCACCTAAAACTTGTAAAATTCCAAAAGAATCTTTAGAATTAATGAGAAAAGAATTTCATTATTGGTATCCTGTTGATCTTCGTGTTTCTGGTAAAGATCTTGTTCAAAATCATCTCACTTTTTTTATCTATAACCACACAGCATTATGGCCTAATCAGCCAGAATTATGGCCAAAAGGTATTCGAGCCAATGGCCATTTATTACTAAATTCATCTAAGGTACTTATAAAAAAAAAATTAAACATTTATTATAATAAATCAATATATACAATAAATTTTGATTTGTTATAAACTGACAGATGTCAAAATCTGAAGGGAACTTCTTAACTCTTTCTGAAGCTCTTCAAAAATATTCTTGCGATGGTACTCGTCTTTGTCTAGCAGATTCTGGAGATTCCATAGAGGATGCTAATTTTGTTGAACGTACAGCAGATGCTGGAATTCTCAGACTTTATTCATTCATTGAATGGGTCAAAGAAGTAGTTTTATCTAAACGAAACTTATTCCGGCAAGGAGAATTTACTTTTAATGATAAAGTATTTGATAGGTAATTTTTAAAATATTAAATACAAAAATGTATATGTAATAATTGATTTTATATTATAACATTTCTGTAAAAGTTTAATTTATTCTAAGTAATTATTATAAGTAATGTGATTTAAAATCTACTTATGATCACATATAAAGTGTTTGACATGAACTTAAAACTGCGACTAAGTTAATTAATTTATATTAAAACTTGTCACATTATAATCAGCCACAATATTCTTATACAGCTTAGTAATTTCTTATATTTAGACCAAAGGAGATCCATAGTACAGCTATGTCTTGTAATATCACTGTCGAAAGAATATCAGAAAATAACGAAAGTTTAGCGAGGCAAAAATAACGAAACAAAATATATCAAAAAGTTGTTATGAGAACTTGACACGTCGAAAATTCGACGATTACATTAGCGGGGTTGTATACTTATAGTTTCGACAAACCTCATGTAAAATTGGGATAATTCCTTTTTAACGTACCTTGACTATGTTATTGAGATAATAAGATATAATAATGTATAACTATGTATGTGTATTAAAAAGTAATCGTTACAAAGTATTTCTTAAATCCATACAAAACAAGTTTACACATGCTTATATCCCAAACGAAACGACGATTAGCACTTCGATTTAGCAATAGCTCGGTGTTCATTTGCATAGATCATGTCATATGTGGTTTCTTTTTTCCTCTGCTTAATAAATTTTTATATACATATCTAGGAAATTTCCGTTGTAACAACTATCATGCTAGATAAAGAAAGATACAGCATGCAAGTTGTATTTATTTTTATCATAATAGAGATTTAAATAATATTAAAAAATAAAATTTTATTATAAAATGTGTCTTAAGAAGTTATAACTATATGAACAAAAAAATTGAAATAATACAAATTTTATCTGAGAAAAGTGTAATTTTGTGTGATTGTAAATAAGATTTTAAAAATATGTATAAATGAACGAGTTGTAGATTATTACTAGCATATTATTTTAAAAAGAAAAGTTTTTTTAATTATAATTAAAGTTTATAATTAAATTTTAAATTTGATAAAAAATTTTAAGATTTAAAATTAATTTAATGTTTTGAAAAACAGTTATATTTAAAAAAATTATCAAATACGTATATCTAAACGATTTTTAAATCGATGTATATCAAATTTTTAAATAAATAGTATAAAGAAATATTATGCACGTAATAAGTTTTATTTTTGTTTACTTTTAAATTAAATTTTTAAAAGATTCTAATCTACATAAAATAAATATCACTTTTCCATCTGTTTGGTTAATAAAGTTTATCCCCGAATTCTTCAGTTAGTAAATTGTAAAATGTACTTTATAGCATAAAAAATTATTAAACGATTTCTATATAAAAAAATTTTTTTAATATGAAATTATATATCAAATCTCATTTAATACGAATATTTAATATTTTAAATGTAATTTTTTCTAATTTACACATTTTAACACATAGCAGAGCTTGAAAAAATTTTATTAAATTAAATTAAAAATTTTATAGCATATTTATATGCTGTTTTATATACTATTAACAACAGTAATTTTTACTATTTTCCTATTACTATATATTTTTTATGACTTTAATTAACTATAATTGGATATTAAATTTTTTGTTCATTTCAAATATCAGTAATGACTTTTCCCTCAAAGCATCTAAAAACGGACAAGGTACATACGAAGAAACTGCAATTGCTATTAAAAAAAAATAATTTAAAATTTCGTTTATATTTTTTATATAAGATATAAAATTTAATCTATTAGTTGTATTTTATATTTATTAAATTATTAAAAATTATTAAAATTTATAGAATTTTTTTATATTTAAAAATCGTCAGTCTAATATCTATTTAATATAATTTTAAAACGGTTTATAATTTTATATTACAGCGAAATAAATTTAAAAATACAAGAAACTGGGGATCATTATAATAAAATGCTTTATAAAGAAGCTCTGCGAACTGGATTTTTTGAATTTCAAACAATTAAAGATAAGTACCTACAATTAAGTATATTGGAAGGTACACATTGGGATCTTTTGTTACGATTTATAGAAACGCAAATTGTACTTTTATCGCCAATATGCCCTCATGTAGCAGAATATGTATGGAATTTAATTGGAAAGGTATTAATAATAAAAACGTAATTACATGTGTTTTTACAATAAAATAATGATTTATTTAAATTATAAAATTAATATTAATATATAGATATACAGAACAATTATAAAAATCAAATAATTAATAAAATGCTTATCAAATTAATCTAATACAAAATTGTAAATATTTAATTATTTAATTCTTAGTTTTTTGTAGTTAATATTTTTTAAATTCGTAAGCGTATTTAAAACATAAATTGTTTTAATATATATTCGACGATATTTTTAGAGTGGTAGTATCTGGTATACTAAATGGCCCACAAGTGATCGAATTGATCAAATTTTAATAAAATCTTCACAATATCTTATGGACGCTGCTCATTTATTTAGAGTGCGTCTGATTAATTATAAGACACAAAAAATGAAAAAACAAAAATGTCCAATGATGTCAGTAGAAAAACCTAGTGCAGGAATTATTTATGCAGCAAAAACTTGGCCTTTGTGGCAAAGTTTAATTCTTACAAGTATGAAAAATTTATACATAGTACGTATATGAATTATTAAATAGTTTTAACTATTTTAATGTAATCTAATTTTTTGCAAATTAATCTTTATTTTTTATATAGAAATATGGTTATAATCTTCCAGAAAATAAGATTATTGCTATTGAATTAAAAAACAAGGACGAATTAAAAAAGCATATGAAAAAAGTTATGCCTTTTGTTCAAATGGTAAAAAAAAAATTTGACATTGTTGGTATTGATGCTTTTAATGAAACATTAGATTTTAATGAAATTGATGTGCTTTCAAGTAGTTTAGAATACTTACGTACTACTCTTGATGTAAGTATGAAATAATAGATACCATTTTTAGAATAATTTGAAATATATTATTAAAATTATTTAACTGCAGCTGGAAGAACTAAATGTTAAATGTGCAAATGAAGCAGAAGATAATACTATGGAAGAATGTTGTCCTGGTACACCATTTATCACTTTTATTGTTAAACCTAACATAGATGTATATTTTATAAATCCTCAAAAATGTAATGGTATATTTGATACATTAATTAAAATTAGTGATGGAGATACAGTTACACAAGTCATTTTTAAAATTATAAAAGTAAAAAATATCAAAGGTATTTAAATAAAAGAAAGTATATAAATTTAAAAGTAATGCAAAAATTTTATAAACAAGATCAATATTATCATTAGTGATATAAAATGTATTTTAATCTTGAAGTATACATTTTTTTATTGCTGATATACATTATACTTTTTTCAGATTCTTACTCAATTACTTTGTATCGTTATAAAGATTCAATTTTAGATCCACGTATAATTCCAACAAATGAAAATATCTTATTTAATAAAGAAAAACTATCAAATAATGATACATTTTTAATAGATTCTGATAAAAATACCATTAACTTAAAAACTGAAAATAAAATAGTTGATGTAGGTAATCAACTTATTTATTGGGTAGAAATATAAACGTGTTTAGATACAAAAAAGTCAATTTATATTGTAAATTATAAACCATTTATAACAAAATGAATATAATTTCGTACTGTAATGGTTGAATTTATTTAATGATAAATATATTTTTAAAAATATTTCTTAAATAACAATTGATTCCTTTTTATTCTATATTTTAAAACATTAAGACGAATTAATAGCACAATATCGTAAAGACGAAAAATTATATTTTATATTTGTGTAATAATCACTTATCATTAAAATATAATTCTATGTAACAAAAATTAACTTTCTAAATTTTTTTACTTTATTTATACTACAATTTCATATTTTTCAACTGTTTTTTTAACTTTTGTTTTTACAAATATACTATTTAATTTTGAAACCAACTTCCTTTCATCTCATTCATTATTTAACAATATTGCTTAAAATAATTTTACACAATGGTGAAATAAAGAATAGACAAAATTATTGTTTGATTATAAATTTAATTAATTTTTTGTCAAATAATTTAAAGAGACCGAAGTAATATTTATTTATTAAAAAAATATTACAAAAATATAACAAATTCGTATTCTAAATGATCTAAATTTAATATCTATTATTGTAAATTAATATTAGTTCTAAAATGGATTTATACATGAAACTTTATTGAATATATAAAAAATTAGTTATGAATTAAAATAAATATTTTGTTTTATTATAAACAAAAAAAGGAATAAAGTATGCATCAAATATATAAATGCTGGTTATTTTATGTTTATAATTGTGTTGTATTAATCAATATTTATTAGTTCAAAATTATTTCGATTTTAGATTTACAAAAATTTATTTTTTACACTCTTACAATGCAATAGTAATAGATAATATCATTAATTTTTATGTTATTAAAAATTCTTCTTTACTATTTAAATAAGGATCAGAAATTCGTCGAAAAACTGCTAAAAATTTATCACCATTATTTCTGGTTACTTTTTGTCCTTCTTCAGTACTTTCATATAATTTTTCAATAATTGGATCTGAAGTCTTCATACATACTTATTAAATATATTTATTTTATAAACAAACTATATGTGTTCATAGATTTAAAAGAATCTTACCAATTGCTCTATTGGAATACGTAAAAATAATGGATGTACTGTTAAATGTTGTACCATCCATTCATGTAAATCTTTGACATCGGTCATTGTATATACAATAGCCTAAAGATATAATTTACACATATTATTTAATTTATTTATACAAATAAATATGTTATTGCATATTCATATACTTATACTGATTCTCACATTTTCTGCTAAAACATATGCATATTCAGCTAAAAGAGATTTATTGATAATACGCCATTTATGTTTTGCTTTTTTGAAATGTGGATCAGGATATAAGAAAAACATTTTTTTTAATTGGCCTTTATAAAAGTAATTTGGCAAATATTTCATAGTATTAGTTCTAATACAAGCAATATTTTGATATTGATCTGGGAATTGAGAACGTAATGCTGCTATTCTATCAATCACATAATCTGAAACCTTGACTCTAATTTCCATTCCCACAATTAAATTATTAGGAAACATTAGTGAAAGTGTAACTAAATTAGATAATAATAATTTAAAATTAAATAAAAATACCAAAATAATTTATAACTATAATTAATTTACCAAGTAATCCACCATACCCGCAACCAATATCTACAAATTCGACAAATTTATTCAATATCTTAATACTCCTGTTTGTATCAAATATTGGAATAATATTTGAATATAGTACCGTCCAATCCATAATATCAGGCTTGATAGGACTAAAAAATTATTTATAAATTAATGTATAATACTTATTATATTATTAGAAAAAACTTACTATTCAATGCAATGATCTGCTATAGGATTAGAGTGAGCACGTTGACGATAAAATTTTTTTTGTGGTAAAGCCATTGTAAAAGTTGCCATTGTGTCTTTTATTAAAATATAAATAGATGAAATTTATCCTTTTTGTAAAATAATTTAAAAGATTTAATTATAATAATAAATTAAAATTGAAATTTTTATCAATAATTTGATATAAATTGAAAAAATTTTTAAATATGTAAATTAAATCAATGGTAACTCCTTAATGATATATACAGAAATAAAGGCTTTATAAATTTTAATAAATTATAAAAACAGGATTTGTTATCTGGAATAAACCATATTGATATTTAAACAAAAAGATTTATTTTTATTTAGTACTATTAATTTTATCTTTGTATTCAAAACTTAAAATAATCATAAGATTAATCATAAATGAATTTTAAAATTATTACTTAATAAATTGAATTACTTACTATTTACCAAATATTAAAACTTTAAAATAAATTTCACTTTTGAAATGTAAGCAAAACGACACTATTGTAAATATAAAATTAAAGTTAATACACGAAATATGAACATGTTCTAATAAAAAAATTAATATAATATAACGAATAACTTGTTGAGCATGCGTAAAGCAACTGTATCAGCTGTTCCTAATAAAAGTTAGTTCCACCTTACAGTTCAATAGTAAATGTAGTGAAAAAGTTTTCACAAATAGTGTAAATTAACAATAATAAAGCAATTATATTTCCATATTGCATTGTTTTTGTCATCTAAGTAAACAAATATTGCATTTTGTACGTGTCATATACGATATACTATCAGTTTCATTAAAAATTATTTTATTTTTTACTTCATATTTTATTCTTCGTACGCGTACATGTTTTCTTACTAATATTTTTTCCTTGTTTCTTAGGCCTTAACGAAAAAACGCGTGTGTATCACATACACCAAATAAAGACGCTGCATCAAAATATCATAAAATAATGAATATTTGACTCGCGTTAACGTCATAGCATATGTATGTAATATTGCATTATTAAGAAGAACACTTAACTAAGCTAATGAACGGAAATATGAGTTTCACTTGTTTCCTCTAAGATAAAATAATCAAATGGAACCTAAGATTATAAAGAAATTCTATCATTGGTAAATTCTTCCAAGTATATATTTTACTTTCTATATTAAGTGTTGTGTACACATTGTGATTCTTCTTTATCTCTGCTATGGTGTATTGAATAGAGAGTACAGTTGAACTTACCCAGGTTATACTAGGAAAATACTATTGGCTTGTTATATGTCAGTGAACAAAAATTTTTGATTAGGTAAGTAATACAATATACAAATTTGAACATTCTTTCTTTTTACTCCTACTGTTGAATAAAGTATTATATTTAACAATAGGTAAGTAAATTTAATATAAATTAAAATGAAATTTTGGTAGATAAAATATTTTTTCTAAAATTGTGCAAATTAAAAACTTTCATTAAGAAATATTATTAACTATACAACAGTTTATTAAAATGACAAATTAACTATAAACAGACCATTACATAATTTAACTTTTTAAACATAATATTCCAAAATTATAAAATTTAAAATATTTATGAATTAATTGTTAATGTATGTATAAAGAAAAAATATATATATGTCATTTCAAATACAATGTCTGAAATAAAATAGTAAAATTCATTACCATTCTAACTGTACAATATTATTTTTAATATAATTACATGGTGCTTCAATTTAAGTAAATTATCATGAAAAATTTGAAATTTGTGAAATTATTAAAATTATTTTTATAATAATTTTCTAACAAATTTTTACAACTTTTCAAAATAAGCTAATAAACAAAAATAATTATTTTTTAATTTAATTAGACAATGGGATTAATTAATTTTTTTATATTAAAATTTAATCATATATATATTTATATATTAATTTATATAACAGAATAAGTTCTAATAAAATATAGAGAGCAATAAGTATATTGAAATATAAAGAATTAATAAAAAAATTAATTAATAACTAGCAAAACCTAAATAATTGTTTTATAAAAAATATTAATGTTTCTAATTTCTTAACTAATAAAACATATAATATGTATCTTAATATAGATTGCATTTAACTTTTATTTATATATCACAGTTTAATACATATTAAAGTTTTTAATATATAATAATTATAAAATTATAAAGGATGCAATTATTATTTAAAAATTTGTTTGTAATTTAATATTTAAATTTCATATTTGTATTCATTCAGTTTACCAATATTCTAGTACTTTATTTAATATAAGAATAATATTTATTACTAATTATATATTTCTTATATTACTAATATTTAGTTATGGATAAACATAATATTGATTAGTTACGACAAAAAATACAAAATCAAATAAATATGTAAAATAATATATAATTTTAACTTTTATAAATATTATTGTTGATGATATGAACAATTTCTGAAAAGAAAAATAAATATATACTGCATACGTACAAAACTAAAAAATAGTTTAGATGAATAAAATTTCATTTTATTAAAAAGAAAATAGAATTATATTGTTTAAAATCAATGTAATACTAAATAATAAATATTATATATGTATATTAATCATGGCTACGTAGTTGATTCAATGATATAATTTAAATTAATACCAAATATTTGTCATATATTCAATACAATAAAAGTTACTCAAATTTTCCAAGTAAACATGGACTTTTTCTTTGAAACGGTTTTGGCATTGATTAGTAATAAATATCAACTTAAATGTGCGAAATTGTAAAACATTCTGTCACCATTATTTCCTTTATATAATTATTAATTTATTATTTGTTATTTTTTAATTATTGCATATTGTAATTGTAATGTAATACGTAAATAGTATTATTTTAATAGAAGGAAAAATAATAAAGGAAAATCTTATATGTTTGTACAGTGTTTACTATTATAATTATGAATTCAAGACTCTTTCACGATCCAAGGATATGATTGACATTTAAGACAGAAACGACTACGGTAATTACAAAAATGGAATAAATATTTTACTTAAGAAAGTTTAATATTTTAATAAATGTTTACAATTTATTTTTACTTTTTTCGTTTACTAATTTATAAAAATTATTTTTGATTTTTTATTGCTGAATATTTTTCATAAAGTCTGTACTTATTATAATAATAGTAATACAATATTAATAATATTAATGGTTTTAGAAAACAACTATTAAAATATTAATTTCTCAAGAATCTTTCATTAATTATGTTCGTTTCGATAATTATGTATTTAACATAGGATATTTACAAAATAATATTTATATATTAAAAATGACCATTAAAGAAAGTCCGATTTTATTTATATTATTCAATCATTATAATAATTAATCTATTCGAACAATGCTATCAATTACAATAAAAAAAAAAGATGAATACAGTTAATTAAAATTAATGTAAAATAAGTATAGTCGAAAATGCAGACTGGAATCAAATTAGGATATTATGTGATAGCACAATTGCGAGTGGTTCTAAATACAAGAGGTTATTGTTATTTTCAAAAATTATTTTTTGGTATAATAGATCATAACTATTTTTATTTTCTATTATTTGAAGCGAAGCACTCGTACAACAAAGGTGGTAAATCGTACCTGAATTTGATGCAGTGCAGATTTTGTAACATTTTCTTAACAGCGACAATGTTTAATACATTTTGCTTTACATTCTCAAAAATTATTTATATTAATAATAATTTAAATTCATTCAATCATACAGATAATGATTAAAATTTTATTAATTTTCCTATTAAAATATAAATGAAATATGTAATAATTATTACTATACTATACTAATAATTATTATATATAACTCTTTATGATAAATATTTACATACATAAAAAATTATATTGTATATAAAAATTAAAAGTATATTGTAATAGTTTACAATCAAGTTTTGATATCATTTTGATATATATTGATCGCAAATTAAATTTACCGTTCTTAATAATTAAATAAAAATTAAGATTTATATTATCGTCTATACAAATGTGTGAATAATCGATTAACTTGTTTAATTAATACAATCAATATTAAAAATATAAACACATATATCCACACAATTACCTATCATTTCACAAAAAAGAAAATATCTTTGTAAATAAATGTAAAGTAGGAGCCTTCTTGATCACTTTCTAATAATTAGTAAATTCTAATAATTAAATTAATGGTTAGTAAATCTAATAATTAGTATAAAGAGTTGGACGAGTACATATATATTTACATATTTGTCAACATAAAAATTCATAGATCTAATAATAAAATAGTATTCTAAAAACCACTATTAACGAAAATAATGATGTAACCAAATTAATTAAAAGAAATCACAATAATATAATAAGATATTATTCTTTAGCTACGTTACATACGTTATAAAGTTCTATTATAAAAAAATTCATTACAAAATATAAGGCTTACTAAACGTATTACTAAAAGATAACAATTAGAAAATTAAAAGATTCATATCAAACATAGATACCATAATATAAAATTTAATTAAATATTACGATATTATTTGTACATATTCAATAATATAACCAATAAAATCATAAAATGAATAAAAAGCGCTATTACTGTTTATAAAATCGTTAATATTCATCTGAATAATATATTTAAATATTTATATAATAAAATAGAATTCAAATATATTTTAATACGAATGAAATAAATTTTTAATTTCGATCAAACTGATGTCGATTTTTATTTATATAATGTGTTTAGCAATATACTAAATCTATTATCTATATAAAATTTTGATAAACTGTGTACAAAAAGTGTTAAGCTTAATCGTAGGAAGAGTAACGTATTAATTAAAATCTAATAATTTTATTTAAAATATGAATACTGTATGCTACGCAATTTTTTAAACAATATTTCTATTGAATTAATTTGTATATTATTACTTTATTAAATAAACTGAACATTTTTACTATCTTTGAACACTGCTTGATTTAACTAGTAGATGAAAATTTTTTAGCAAATTCTTTATTTGAATTTTTCAAGCTTAAAATATTTCAATAAATATCTTAATTAATCTTTTTCATTAAATGTAAAGTATTTGAGTTGGCGTTATGAAAATAACTTCTTATGTCAAATCGATGAGCCTTTATCGCCTTTTACGTGTTTACTATATGAACTTGCTGGTCATTTAATGATAATGTAAATCTGAAGTACTTGAGTAATCTACATGTAAAATTCCTGACTTAATATTCGATTAATTTAATGTCAATAGTGCGTGTCATTCCAGTTATGAGTTGAATTATGGGATATCAAGATTGCAATAGTTGTAACTATTATAGTGTAATCGTTTTCTTATTCAAGTTTTTACTTTTTTATTGTTTAATCAAAAGTATTTGCGCGATTGATACTATGTTTAATTCAAGCACCACTAGCTTGCTTACAAAAATATGACGTATTGTGTACACAAACATCAAAAAAATTGATAATCCTACGCGAGTGTTGTGAATGAACCAAATATTTGTTGAGAAATTTTTATATTCCTATTTTTTTTAATTTTATTTTTTTAATAAAAAAATACTAATAAGTATAATATATAAAAACTAATATTTACTGCATAAAATAATGCATTATAACCTTACAGATTTAATTATACTCTTCAAATTTAAACAATATTTTTTTATCAATCTGTTGTTGTAAATGAATGGCATCTTATTGTATTATTCAAATCATATATCGTATTATCATAAATTTAAAAACATATTATACAAATTTGAATTCTTACATATTTATGAGGTATACTGTTTTAACTAAAATTTAAATTGAACCTAACTAGATCATGTTGTATATTTATCTTCGATATAAAAAGTATTTTATTACTTTAATTAATATGTTGAAAAGATAACAATAATTTAAAGGAAAAAATTGGATTATATTATTTCAATTTTATAAGCATTACTTAAAATATAAAATAGATAATTAAAATGATTGATATATAAATATTTTATATTCTCACTATTTATTAAATCATATTTACTATAAGAAAATGAAACTTGATTTTCGTTACTATTGATTAGATTTAATTATTATTTCTAGAGAAAATAGTTTTAGCTTATTTTATTAATTTAATTAATTTCTGTTTATATACTTTATATCCTAAAAAATAATGCTATGATTTCAAGTTTTAAAACTGTTAATTAGTTTGATTTTTTTAAATAATAGAAAAAATAATAAACATTGTTAAAATATTTTATTGAAAATTTCCAAAAACAATCTTATTAGACATTCAAATACATTATACATGGGTTATATTATACATACA